ACTGCAGTACTGACACTCGTTTGATTTGTTAGTTACCAATATATATATATATATATATATATATATATATATAGATAAAATATTCCTTATTTTTCGAAAAATTATAATTTTTAGATAGTACATTTATAATTTAGCTAAATTATTTACTGATTATAACTTAAATGAGAAACTTATGTAGTATAAAAAAAAATTTTAAGAAAATATCCTTATATAAAATTTTTTGAAAGATTTATCTTAAAAACCTTTCATTGATTTAAAAAAAAACTTTCCGAGTAATTTAAATGCAGTTATATTAATGAAAGAAAAATTAAGCATTATTATTAGTTTTAAAGGGTTGTTAAAAGTTATCAAGTGTATTCTATTAAGAACGTAACATTTTAAAATTGTAGTTAATTTTTTCGACGTAATGTAATATTTCGTACAGATACTTTTTCTTTCTAGAGAATGCTTTTTTTCTTTGTGTTTTCTGCAGCGTTTAAACTTCACAGTGCGAAAAATGGAAAAATGAAAATTGAACAACATATTAACTTTTAATCTACTGATCAGGTTACACATCTTACAAACAAGCATTCGAGGGGATAACCTAAAATGTACTAATTTCCCTTTTGGAAACTGAATAGATATTTTTTGTTGTTGTTGTTGACTGATTTGGATTCTTGATCCCTAAAGTATAGTGTGGTACCCGCAAACTGGAAAATATAGACTGATTTCTGATCGAATCAAACAAAATTAGTACGCAATTGAAATATTAGGTTATAAAAGATAATTTCGTGAAAAAAATAGTTTTTTATAATAATTTTTTATTTTTGTATTATTTTTTTAATAATAGAAGTAAAAAATTTGAATTGTAAGATTTTCACATTTTTGAATCATTTTTTGACTGTCAAAATACTAAATTTTAGCAAAATTGGTAGAATTGTTTACCTCATTCGATTAGAAGTTCTCGAGGTATGGTGAAATACACAAACTAAATTTACCATAAGGGGTCCAAGGGCTTAGAGAAAGTAGGTTTTTGTGTCTAATTTCGTAACTTAAAACCAATTCGTTCGAACTAATTAATTGGCCTATTTAAGTTTAAGTCCTCGAATAACTTAGATTGAGTTTTAGTACATGAAAAGCAGATCAAAAGCCATTCAAGGTGTTCATTTTTATTTTACGCACTTTACATTACGATAAGTTACTCCGAGAAATATCAAACAATTATCTATTTCCCATAATATTTTCTCAACACCAGTATTGTAAATAGAACACATTTAAAAAAATAATAATAAACATGTAGTATTACGCTGCAGTGGTATTAAATAAACGCTTTTTTTTAAATAAAATATATTAAGTTACTTATGTATATGATTAATATTTGTTGTAAATGGGATTTGAAGTTGACAAGAAAAAAAAAACGCTTTGCAAAATTATGAAAAACAAATTCAGCGTAATAAAACTCTTGTAAAAACGTAAACTTACTTGACTTATCTTAGGAAATTAAAGAAGGAAAAAAAAAGTCAAAACCAAAATGAAAAAAAATTCTTAGTGAGCTCTTTGATTAATATGAGCCAAAATGTGAAAGATAAGAATACTCACTCTATCACTTGTACTAGGGTATCGAAATAATCTTATAAAACCATTCTTATCTCCAGCTGCTAATATTTGCTTGGAATTTGACACATGACAACATACATGAACTGCATCTGGTATATGTTTATTATTCCACATACCTGCAAGAATCAAAACAATTGCATTGTTTTCATTGATTAATAGTGTTATTTGTGACTTCTGTGAGAAACATATACTGACATATAACTTGTAGGTACACAAATACCGCATTTGCTCCAGCACCAGATCTGCTTTGATTTCATCAAAATAGGATAAAGATAATAGTTTTTTTCCAATTTTTTTTATTTTTTATTTTGAACTTCATGAGCAGTTCAGCGTATCAGTCTTTCTTATAGAAGTTGAATCATTCCGGAACTGGTAGCGTTTGCCTTTGAAAATGAACAGTAACAGATGCAGTGATTAAGTATGAAACCAATTTCAGCCCAACATTGCTTTTATTTTGAAAAAAAAACAGAGCCAAAGAGCCCTTCAGAGGTTACTTCAGGAAAAGAATCTCATTTTGGACTCGTGATGTTTAGAAGGAAATTTTTCCAAACTAACCAGATCTGTTATCTGGTGGTGTTCTGAGGAGTCATCACAAAAACCCAAAATTTAAGTTAGCACAAAAATTAAACCACAACAGAGATCTTCTACTGTAAGGAAAATCAAAGGTTCATACATCCATCCGTAATATATGTTTTTCGAATCTTTGTCAAAATTGAAAATTATGCACATTAGGGGTGGTTAAATAATATTGAAACAAGGAATAAATACAATCGAAATCTAACGAATCGCTGCAGAGGCAGGGGAGACAAAAAACATCAGAACAGAGAGGAGTTGACTTATATTAGAAGGTTTTGATAGTTTTCACCTCAAATTCCTCACTAGGGATTCAACAGTGTTCGATAGTGTTTTTTTTCCCGATTTAAAAAGTTTTTTGTGACCCCTAATTATAGATTGCTCATGTGTATATTATATTGTATGTGTATATTTCTTACTTCATTTCTGACCACCTGACAATATATATATATATATAACACACTATCTGCTACGTTGTGTAAAAGTAGTCAAAAGTAGCCAGTAAAAGNTTAGAACTACATTTATTACTATATATATGTTAAAGGAGGTCCTTAAGTAACACCCTATATAGGAGAACCGATGCATAGCCGCAATATTTAACAGTTCACTGCGCTAAGTTTGAATTGGATTTTTTTCTGCTATCCTCCATAATGAAACATTGAAAACTGCTTTACACATATGCAAAGGTGCGTAGCTAGTGAAAAGAATTGACCACCAGTTCGTGCTTGTTTCAACGTTGAACTGTTTCCCAGCTTGTTCGTTTGGCACCTGTCATTTCGGCAAGAGGGATAATTGCTGGAGATATTTGCTGTTTTGATAATTGAAATTTAAAGCTATAGTCATTTCATTTCTTATATTTCAGGTCTTTATTTGATTTTTGACGATTTTGTGTTTATTATTGCAAAGATTCAATTACAGTGAAACCTCCACGAAAGACCACCTCTATTTAAGACCACTTTTGGGAAACACGGAATTTCTTCCATAGACTTTGTGCTGAAGAAAATCTTTAAGAGAGACCATCGAAACCTCTACCAGCTACCGGGTAAACCTCTGCACCAAATGCAGAAAAGGTCAAATACTCGTATAAGGAAACACGAAAAAAAATATCAAATCAAAAAATTTAACAAATCAAATAAGTAGATCAAATTGTATTCAAAATATTTATGTGGGGCTTTTATTTGGAAAACTTTTTTTGACGATACCTCATGTTGCAGTTAGAGTGCATTCGACGATGCTATCAACGATTTACTTCTATAGTTGAAAGCTAAATTTGAAAAAAAAGTTATTTTAGAAAAAACAAGCATCTCAAGTAAACAAATTTCTTCCCGTCTTTTGAAGCTAATTAATTTTTATGATATAAAATTAAAAGCAAACTTAAAAGCAAACTTAATCAAACATCATAATTGTTTACAGCATATTTTTACACATAATTGTATCAGTTGTGATCATTTTTATCGCGGCAAAATTTCATTCATCGATCTGTCTTTTCATGACACCAACAAAAGTGGCATTTCCGCTCCAAGAAAATGACACTGACTAAAATTAAAATCGTTTTTGAACCTTTGATAATAAGTGAATGGAGGTAAGAACGACCAACCTCCATCAACGACCATTTCACTATGGAGTATAATTTGCACTTATGAATATATTGAACATATTGAATTTACTGTTTTCTTAGGATTCCGAATTAGAAGATTTAAAATGTTTACTTTTCAGTCAGATCATAAAAGATTAAAATATTTAGCATTTATAATTTCATCACAGCCTCGAGGAAATAATCTAAGCAATTTTAACAATGTAATTTCAATAAATGTTAAAGCATAATAAATATTAACTAAAAATTAACTGCTGAATGATATCCCAATTAGGTTGGAAAAAAAACTATTTCAGTGACAAGTTACTACATTAGAACTACATTTATTACTTGTTTAGTAGAAAAGTAATTTTTCATTATTCTGGTCAAATTTGGTTTCATTTTATTATTTAGTACGCAAAAAATTCTGAAGTCAGTATTATGTCAGCTGATGCGCAAAGGTATACAATTTGGGATGTATACAACTTATAACAGCTAAAAAAATAATAAAATCATGCAGCTAATCACAATTTTCAATTGAAAATATGACTTAAAATGTATTATGGCATTAGTTTTTCCAAAATTTCCCCCTATATACTAATTAACCAAATTTGAGGAATGAAAGGTGGAATAAGTGACGAAAAAAAACTGTTTTATTCCAAAATGAACATGAATGATTGCAGAGAGGTATGTTGATTAAAAGCAAACAGGGGTCTTTTCTCGCTAATATTATTTGTTCTCTGCTTGAATAAAAAGAAAAGATTTATGTTGCTAATTGTCTCAACTTTTTTACCTCTCCAAATATCTAATATTAAAGGATGCTCAATTCAATTTCAGCTTTATACAAGTCAATCCTTGAAGAACACACAAATAATGCGCAAAAAAAGTAAATAAAAATAAATAAATAAACGAACTACCCTGAACAACTTTTTGACTTTTGACTGAATCTTCACGTTCAAGAACTCAATTTTAATGGCTCGAGGGGGTGACCTCAAATATGTTAAATAATAAGTGCAGACGATATTTAAAGTTACGAAATCAGACACAAAAACATACTTTTTACTGAATAAACATACCTCTTTTCGATGGATTCAGATTTTTGATCCCCAAAATGTAGGGGGTAACTGCAATCTGTGAAATATGGTATCCATAATTAGGTCAGGAGAGCGCTCCAAAGTTTGTTTACTTTTTGCGTATTTCACTATAAATCGAGAACTTTTAAAGGGTATTGAAAAATTTTTTGCTCAGAATTATAAAATTCGTTAATCCGAAGATAATTTCATGGAAAAAGTAACGATTAGTAAATATTTTTTATTACTTTATTTAATAAAAATCAAAAAAATTTTTAATTGTAAGGTATAGAATTTTTGACAGCATTTTAAAAAACACAATCATTTACGGCAAAATGAAAAATTCGGTTGAATAGTTCTTGAGAAATCAAATTTTAAATATCTGACTTTTTGAAATTTAATTTCTCAGGAACTATTCAACCGATTTTCGTCAAATTCTGTATTTTATCATGTAAAATTACATTCATTTAAGTAATGCAAAAAATTGTATACCTTAAAATTTAAAATGACCTTTATTAAATAAAAATTATTAAATGTTTTTGACCCTGAACATTGAATAATTATACTGAATTGAAATATTTATGAAATATTTTTGACATTTATTAAATAAAATAGTAAAAAATAATAAATATTTACTTGAAGTTATTTTTTGCATGGAATTGTATTTGGATAAACGAATTTTATAATTGTGTGCAGAAAATTTTTAATTCGCTTAAAATTTTCTCCTGAGATACAATGGAAAAAGTAAAACTAACATTAAGGGGTCCAAACTTCGGAACGCTCTCCTGACCGAACTATTGGGACTATATTTCCCAGATTGCATCTATCCTCTATATTTTGTCGGTCAGAAATTTGAATGCGTCGAAAATAAGGTATGTTTATTCGAAGAAAGTACGTTTATGCGTCTGATTTCGTAACTAAAAATATCACCTACTCTTATTAATTCGCATATTTGAGATCGAGGCATTCAGATTGATTCTTAGAAGTGAAGATCCGAGCATTAGATCCAAAGTTATTAAGAGTGGACTGTTTATTGTATTGTCACTGCACAAAAATTATATCTCATAAGTTAAAAATTTTTCAAATAATTGTTCTAATTTTCTCACTCAACATTTCTTTCCGAATCAATTATTTAACAGAACTGAAATGTTTTTGTTACAAAAACTTGGTTTTGTAACTGATTAAAATATTTTGTTACTAAAGTGCTAATGGAAAAAATTTATATATGGAGAAAGCAAAATGAAATTTTGTTTCATTTACCTTGTCATGTTCCTTATTTCTTTCAATTTAATATCTAAGATTATAATGTTTTAATTATTTTTATGATTTGACAATAACTGATATTATTTAAATTTAAAATTAAGTAAAGAATAGTTATTTTTAAGTTAATTTAAGAGAAAAGTAATTACATCATATTCCCTTTTCTCTTAAATTTTATATAACATTCCTAAACTAAATTTTTATCCTAGTGTATTTTAAGACAAAATAAATCAGTCAATAGATTCTCTTATTATAAAACTTGATAAGAGCTTTGTTCATAAAGTTATAATCGTCAATATTTTTGTGTGCAGTACTTACCATTTATCTTATATCCCAATGTACAATTTGGCTTATACCACTCAATTGCTTTCAGTTGTGTGGCACTATGAAGTTTTTCTTTGGTTTTTAAATTCCCTTAAATATATATATAAAAAAACATTAAATGGATAAGATAAAAATTTTACCAAAACTCTCAATTTATGCATACAAGTATCAGATCATACTATACTGTTAGAAATGTTTCGGAAAAAGTGGTTAAATAGCAATTTATTGAATGGTTATTTTACCATATTTAATCAAAACAGTCAAATAACCATAAATAAAATGGTAATCAAACGGTTAAGTTTGAGGAAAACTGTTTTCACTTAATACGGTTAAACAACCAGAATTTTATAGCACCAATTAGAACCACCTAATGAAGGTACTTAGTTGTTTGCAACTGCGTGTATATCATAGCCGAGCGGGCTTATCTGTCAATCTCATGAACAGGAGTTCGAGTCTTAGTGTTGAGACCACAATATTTCCTCCATTCCCTTCAACACATGAAGAACTTCCAGTATCCGGCACTCTCGATTGCCCATTAACTTACAAAAAGCCGAGCTCCCATGTCCAGTTAAATAATTACTTCCTTTACGTTTTTTGAAAATGCTATTTGTAAATGGCTAAAAAACCGTACAGTTTTGTATTCATGGTTTCATAACCATACCTTTTGTAAATGGTTTCAAAACCAAAAAGGAAAAAAATATTCTTTATCGTAAACTAACGGTTAATCGGCTGGACAGATATCTGCCAGTTATTTTATCATAATTTTGGAATGAAAATTTTAACAATGTATGCCATCAGCAAAATTGGCTTAGGGTAAAACCACATTGTCTTCTGCTGTCCTAATAAGATGTTTAATTAACTTCATTTTGGTTCAGGTTGAACCATTATATCGTATGAATAATCTCTAACTAAACTCATGTTTGTGAAAATTGCAACACCATGAAGGACTAACGCGAGTGAGCTGAAATTTTCAGGAAATGCAAAGTACAGCATGATATGCAAATGATTAGAATTTCAGACCCGTAGCGCATGCGTATGCTGAGCAGCGCCCTCTAAACGGCGGATGGATCCGAATAAATAGACGGCTGTAGCCAAGCGAGTATGGTTATTGGTGGTTATCTGCTAGTGGTAAACGTTAGCTTAGTCATCACTTATGCCTATTCCACGAAAGAGAGTGAGATTTCAACAACTTACGGGGTTTAAACGGGGGAGAATCATCGGCCTTCGTGAAACTGGATTATCTTAACGTGCAGTAGCCGCTCGTGTGCAGCGTAACAGCAGCACAGTGATGCGTGTTTGAAAGCAGTGGATGGACGAGTGTCGGACAACTCGGAAATCCGGGAGTGGACCCCGAAATGTCACGTTAGCTCGCGATGATAGACACCTGTTCGGCGTTGCGTTAACGGACCGTACGGCTCCCTCTAGACAACTGGCAGAACGGTGGTCAATAGCTACAGGTTTTTCATTGTGCCCTTTATCAATTCGTAGACGTCTGCTGCAGCGTGGACTGCGCGCAAGGACTCCTTTATACAGGATCCCTCTCACGCTAAACCTTCGCCGCCTGCGGCTGCAATGAGCCAACCAGCATAGGTACTGCCTTGCTGATTGGCAGCGTGTCGTGTTTTCTGACGAATCTCGCTTCAATTTGTGGTACCATGAAGGCCGCATTCGTGTCAGACGCTATGCCGGTGAACACCATCTTCCGGAGTGCGTTATCGAACGCAACAGTGGACGAACACCCGGAGTTATGGTCTGGGGTGCTATAGCATATCATGGACGATCTCAATTGCAACGAATTGTGGGTAATCTGAACAGCAACCGGTACATCAGTGAAGTTCTACAGCCCCAAGCTGTTCCCTTCCTTCAAGCCATGCCAGGTGCTGTATTTCAACAGGACAATGCCCGCCCTCACATTGCTAGGACTGTTCAATCCTTCCTTGCATCGCGACAGGTACAACTTCTTCCTTGGTCGGCGTATTCCCCGGATATGTCGCCGATTGAACATGTGTGGGATTTCGTTGGTCGGCGTCTTGCTCGTAATCCTCGACCTGTTGCTTCTACAGACGAACTTTGGGTACGCATACAAACAGTATGAAATTCTCTTCCTCAAACAGACATTCAAAGTTTGCTTGACTCCATACCGCGTCGTGTAGCAGCACTTGTTGCGGAGCGTGGTGGCTACACAAAATACTGATTTCGATCTCTTGTTATTGTTTGTTTGCTTTGAAAGTTTAATCATTTATTTGTACCACTACCACTCAACTGTGTATTAAATTTCATTCAATTATGACGATTCCTTCATGGTGTTGCAATTTTCACAAACAGGAGTTTATAATAAGATGTTAAATTAACCAAGTTTTGGTTTAAGTTGAACCATAATTATTGTATAATCCAATTCAAAAAGTGCGATAATATGTTCACCTTAGCACTATATTATGGTTATAACAAATATTCAATAAGCTCAAATTTCTGACAGTGCAGATAATTTTTACATTAAAAAGTGTCTTTTGCTATAAATTTAAAGACAATTAGCCATTTTCAAATCATTTGGAAGTTTTGTATCTAGTTTTTTTTTAAAAAATCCCTTCAATAATGCATCAGTACTTTGAAATAAGAATTCTCTTGCTTTTTGGTTAGAACTACGAGTTGAACATAGTGTTGCTGTTTATTTTTATATGAAGATCTAATTTGACAATGGGTATATGTGATATTTTTAGAAAAAATACTTTTGTTTTATTTAATATTTATTTTATCTTGCTAAATCTTTAAATTCTCAAGATCTCGGTGGATAAAAGATTCAAGTAATAAACTCTGAGGGTTTTTGGAGTGGAAGAATGATCTAAGCGCATTTAGCAAAGCAATAAACAGTCGACGAGTAACCTAAGAAAACTCTTTTTTTTGGAAGCTAAGTGAAACTCCGAGCAGCTTAAATGAGTGTTAAAAATTAATAATTTTAACCAATTTTAAGTTCGTGAATAAGAAATAAAGGTAAGTCTTTCATCGTTTGCTGTTAATGTTAAAACTTAAAATCACATTAACTCAAATTCTCAAAAATCTCACTTAGATCATTTATCCACTTAGCTTTTAATTTATGGAAGCCACCTGATCATAAAAATTTCACCTCTGATTTTTTGAAGGTAGATGTATTTAATAACTTTAATTAATTAAACCTGAATTACGATACACGTGTTTCTTATATTTTTTAGATTATTTCAGAAATATAAAAAGGTACATAAGAAATTGTTATCAATAAAATGATTAAGTGAGCTTAGTTTCTGGAGATTCCTGAAAACTTTTCTACGATACTAAATAAATATTTTTATAAAACAAAAACACACTAATTGAATAGGGAAAAAAATTTTCTGTTCATTTTTTAGCAATGATTTAGTTTTTATAATTTACACGGCAATCCGAAAAAAGTGAATTTTTAAATTTGACTGATTATCTCCAATAGAACTTTATAGATTCTAATGAAATTTGAGATGAACATAGGCGATGATACGCGCATGTTGGCACGTAACACCCACCATATTAAGAAGGTACGAAACAATGGATACAGAACCAAACAAACAAAAACTAATAATGATAAGAGGTCCACTTTTACAAATTTCCATAGTAGTACAGTTTTCTTATTTTGCAGATTTTAATGAATGTTATGGACATAATGGTAAACGCATCATGGTACATAATACCCATGGGAGTCAAAGCACCGAAAAAAAATTAATAACAGGTATGGTCAAATTTAGCAGGTTTTACATAGTGGCTTTAGGCTGAAAATGAGGTAGTTTAAGAACTCCTAGATGAAAATTGTTCGTTCAGCAGCGTAGCTTTTAAGCCCTTAGTGATTGTTGGAGGACAATAACGAATTGCAATAGCTTTCGTCAAGGCTTCCCAGACATGTTCTAAAGAGTTAACGTCGAGAAATATCTGATGAATCTATCCTGGGAATATTTTTTTTTCTAAAAAAAAGTAGTCGACCAAATATGCTCTACACGTCTATTTAAATGAAATCCGGGGAAAATGTATTCCTGAAAAACTAAGGACAATCAAGTGTCTGAAAACATCATTATTGAATGAGTGGGACCGATTGCTACAGAAACATCTATTTGAGTAGCGAAGGCTCAGGGGATAGAGTGTTCGCTTTCCAATGAGGTAAAGCAGGTTCGAATCCTGGCGATGGTTGGTCGATACGAATTCCGCATCCGGCTGGCACCGACCACAGTGCTGACGTGAAATATCCTCAGTGGTAGACGGATCATGGGTTAGAGTTCCCTCGCCATCAGGCTAACCATGGGAGGTTCTCATAGTCTTCCTCTCCATGTAACGCAAATGCGGGTTAATTTCATCAAAAAGTCCTCCATGAAGACAAATTTCTCCCAATACTTGATCCAGGAGTTTCCTTGTCTTCTGAATTGGGTTCAAAATTAACAACGCTACGGAGTTGAGCATTAGTAATCGTAAACCCAAAAATCGGGTCGCCTGTTCAACGACGGTTACAATATAAAATAAAAAGAAACTTTTATTTCAAGCAGAAACTACGATATATGAGCTTGTATGTTTGTAAAAAGGGACTGCAACTCCTTTCAACATATTTTTTTGCCTCCCATGTTTCATACCTTCCCTTTGAAATGTGTATAACGCACCATCATACGTGTTTATTAGATAATACGATTAGTTAATTTGTTTTATATGAACTCATGTTTATACTTTAAAAATTTTCCTTAAAAACTGTCCAATAATTTTGGAGAAAATCGACCATTTCTAAAAAATCTCGTAATTTTGCACACCAATATACTTTTCTTAACTAGCATGATCTCTGAGATCTCCTATCAGCTATTTGATCAATTTTTGAAAATATATAAATTAATTGAAGATAAAAACTATTTAAGAATGCTCATTAAATCAAAGAGATTGTACTTACTGAATACGATATCATGGCAGTCATTGTCTGTGAATATTGTTTTGTATCCAATGTTTCATACCTTCACTTTGAAATGTGTATAACGCGCCATCATACGTGTTTATTAGATAATACGATTAGTTAATTTGTTTTATATGAACTTACGTTAATACCTTACAAAATAATTTTCTTAAAAACTGTTCAATAATTTTGGAGAAAATCGACCATTTCAGAAAAATCTCGTAATTTTGTACACCAATATACTTTTCTTACCTAGCATGATCTCTGAGATCTCCCATCAGTTCTTTGATCAATTTTGGAAAAAATATAAATTAATTGAATATAAAAACTATTTAAGAATGCTCATTAAATCAATGAGATTGTACTTACAGAATACGATATCATGGTAGTCATTGTCTGTGAATACGGCCTGTAGATATGAACCCTCCACCGACCAATCCAGCATTAAAATAGGAACACATCCCTATAAAATTGTTTGTTTTATTTAAATTTTTAACACACAGGAAGAGATTTTATTTTTACATACATATTCAATATGAATGGGATTTAAAACATCTTTAAAAGTTTGCAATATATCATAAATTTTCGTTAAAAACATTTTAAATTACGATGAAAAATAAATATTTTTGAATTGCCAAATAAAACAATTTTTTTTAAAATTAATGATATACTGTTTTTCTTTAAAAAAATAAAGTTTGAAACAAATAAAAGTGGAAATTTTAAAATTATTTGATTGAATATATATAACAATTTTAAATTTATTGAAGATAAATCAAATAAATTAATCAAAGAGATTAATCTATTCAATGAAAGTGAACACTATAAACAGTGCGTTTCGTTATTTCAGCCACTGATTAATTTAAAATCTTTTAAAGTAAATTAATTAATGATTATTAAAAAGCAATTATTAAAGCATAAAAATAAAGAAACGTCATCAATCTCTGGCCAATGAATTTATAGAGTAACGAGAGCAAAGCTCGTTTGAGATACATAATAAAAGGTGAGTCTTTTTGACATGGTTTTTCATGATTTTAACCCCTTGACATATCATTTTAAAACTCTAAACTATAGGTATACCTTGTTTATCATTTTTATCACAAAATTATTTTATTTGTTACATATTTATATACTTTTAGTGAATTCTATCATTTAATAACAATCATTTAATAACAACAATATTTTTTGTTAAAATGCATGTAACATTCAAATTTGAAGCAATAAAATAATAATCTTTGCAACCGTACATTTATCGACGAAATAAAATTGGTCGTTGATACCCGATATTCATGTGAGCGGGGCTACCCGAAATCCAATTTTTTTGAAAATTTGTAATTACGCGAGCAGTTTTTCACATATAGACTTCTTTCTTCGTGCAAATTAAACTTAAGACTACATACTTTAATGCTGTATGTATAGAAAAAATTATTTTTTTAGTATTAAAATGAAGTTTAATCGAAACATTCAGCCAATTTTTCTTAATTTCATGACTACTGTATTCAACATATTTTCAAAACTATTGTTTACCATGTTAACAGCAGCATAAATACTTGAAACTTTGAAAATAATCTTTTTTTAATATAACAATTAATGTCCGATGGCCCATTGACTTAAAAAAATATTCTATACATATGAAATTGACAGTGGGCGGGGGTACCTGCTGGGCGAGGCTACCCGACTCTCCCCTAAAAATATTATAAGCGAAGCAAATGCAGCATGAAAATCTGTTTAGTCATTAGCGAGGAAGGTGGAATTATTAACATCAAAATCAATGAGATTGTTCGATGAAACTTTGAGGAGTTTCTAAGAGCAGTTTTTCAAATTCTGCTTCCCCCGGCCACGAAACTGGTTTTGATGTTTTTAGTCTTGTTTTTTTGCTTTATGATTCGTTCTATTATCATTTTTTCAAAACTTCACTTTATGTAAAGATAGTCAATATAAAAGAAATTAGGTGGTGATTTCAGAGAATGGATAATAGTATTCTGCAGATTATATTGTACTTACATTTAGAACAAAATCAATTTTATACATATATCCATTGCTGTGCGTTTGAAATAAATATATATTGCCATCGGCTCCTCCAATTGCTAATGTATCTCCATCTGTAAAGAGAATTCAATATTAATGTCCTTTTCATGAGATGAAACTATAGTTTGAATTAAATTTATCCTCAGATCTTTTTTAATGTCACTGGTCTCGCAAAAAATATTTTCCATACGTGATCGCGGTTTTCCCCATTCTTATATAATTCCATGCTTTGTCAAATATCCCAATTTTAATAGAATAAAAATGGTTTATTAATGAAAGGGACCAATTTTTCTTTTATTGTGTTGTTTTATAGAAAAAGTAAGTAAATCAAAAGTTTACATAAAATACTTTGTGCACTAGATCTCGACTTCGTTCATTTATAATTTGATTCGTTGTCGCATAAAAAAGTTTAATATATTTGTGATAAATGTTTAATTATTTCGTTATTAACTTTAAAATGTTAAACGTAATAAGGGGATCGATTTTAATAACGGATTCTTTCCATTGACAGTTTAAAGTATGATGGGTGTTTATTCCATAGCAGGCACATGGCTCTGTTTAATGAATGTATTTATGTCGAGCTATTTAAAAAAAAATTTTTTACCAAAAAACTTAGCTAAACAGTGTAGTGTAATATTTCTTTCTTTTTTTTTTAGATCTAAATTACTTCATATTTTTTCTTTTCGAGCCTAATATTGTTTTTGAGCGAAAAATATGATATTTAAGATGTAAGACGGTTAGAGGTCGTATCACGCATGAAGGTGAGGGAAGGGGTTCTCGAAATTGTGACAATCAGAAGGAGTTTGGGAGCGTGTGACTTCACAAAGTTTGATTAAGATCAAGACATTCAGCAGTTTAAATGCTTTTAAATAATTTATTTTTAGATCTTTTCTCCAAATAAAGTGCCAATATAAAATCATTAAGCTCAAAAATGTAAGCAAACGTAGTTAAATTTTAAAAAAATTGAAAAATGACTATAACTAGTCCTTTGTGTTATATAGCACGACATGTGACAGGGGTTGACATATATGACACTTTGTGACAAGAGGAGAAGGGAGATAAAAAATATTGAAAAAATTTTTACATTATATGGAAGGCCCATTACCAAAAATATTTACAAAACCCATATTTTTATGGGCATCATCGAAGGAAAGAGAAAAAAAAAGTTTTTGATAATTAAAGATTTTTAGTGAAGGACATTGCGAATGAATTACCAGGAGAGTACTTTAATGTGAATAAAGGAGTGTTGGTTACAGGAAGCGTCGTAACATGTAATCCATCTTCCATATTGAGAAATGTGACGTCTCCATGTTCATCTCCTACAGCTACTATACTTCCATGTGGATGAATCGTTATAGAATAGCACTCACTCTGAAAACAATATCTTGAATAGCAGTAGAATAGAATAGTAGTATAGTGGAATAGTAGTATAATAGAATAGTAGTATAATAGAATAGTAGTAGATATTGGCTAGTTCAGATAAAAAAAATAGATTATAGTCTTTGAAAAGTTTCAAACCTCAATGATAGGAAATTATCGAATTTCGCAAGTTTCCATTTCATTTTACATGTTTTTCAATTTCTCAAGAAATACTTAAGAAAATATTTTATTTAATTTTAGAAGTGCAATTTTTCATGTAATTTTTCATACTTTGCAGAAAAGTTTTGAGTTTTTAAGGATTTGAGGGACCGACAACAAATTACGAGAGAGAACAAGTATTTTTGAGCATCCTATACCAAAAAATTAAGCAATAAGCTTGTAACTTGCATCGATTACTTTAGTTGTTATTTTTAATAACTGCATAACATTTTGTAAACCTAGAGTAAATACTAATGGAGATATGGACATTTTTAAAAAAAAATAATTATTCTGCCTTACATTTTCCTATAACTTTATCAATGGAATTAAGCAAAATTTTTGGAATAATTTAAAATTAAATGCAAAATTATTAATTTAAAATAAAAAAGAATTCGTTAAAAACTGCTCAAAATATAAGTATTGAAGGCAGTTTTTTTATAGTATGCATGTGCAGAAAAATTAAAAAAAAGTTTCTTCATAGTTTTTTAATGAATCGGATTTGACAACTAATGAAGAAAGTTTGATTTAAATATCTTAAAAATTTAAGAAATGTTAAGCAATTTTCTAAGTAGTTTTTGTATTTTTTTAAAAGAATGCTCAAAATGATCAGGGGTTTTCCACAAATTTTATTTTGTATTAGAAAAAATTAATAACATAACCTTACAATCATCGTAATTTAATGGTATAAAGAAAGAAAATATACTTTTATGGAGAATGATCCATCCCCACAAAGACGGTCTCATTTTCAATAAATCTCATTTAATAGTATAAAATGAAATGAGAGGAAATCCCCTTATCAGTTTGAGCTCTTTTAAAAAGTACAAAAACTATTTCGAAAATTGCTTGGAATTTCTTAAATTTTTACGACATACAAATCAAATTTTTTCATTCGTTGCTAAATATGATTCACTTTAAAATTACGAATAAATTGTAAATTTTTTTTGCGCATGTGCAGTATAAAAGAACTACTTTAAATACTCATATCTTAAGCAGTTTAAAAAATTTTTTTGGCATTTTAAATCAATAATTTTGTAATTAATTTTAAATTACACCAAAATTTGAGTATTTAATAATTTTAATAGTTGAATACTGAATATTTTTAATAGCTGAATATTGAATATTTTTAATAGTCGAATATTGTATATTTTTAATAGTTGAATATTGAATATTTGTGAATATTATTTAATATTATATCTATTGAATATTTTTAAAGTTATAGCAAAAAACGTAAAACAAAAACAAAAATTAGTTTTCTTATAAAAATGTCCATTTTTCCAGTAAAACTTACGCTAGGTTTACGAAATTTTGTGCAATTATAAGAAATAACAATTTAAGTAAACGATACTAGTTTCAAGCTTCTTGCTTGATTGTCTGGCATGGAGTGCTCAAAAATAATTGTTTTCTCTCGTAATTTATTGTAGGCCCCCCAAACCTCTGAAAGATTTATATCTCATTGATAAGTATAAAAAATTGCATGAACTAAACACCTCTAAAGTTACAAAATAATTATTTTAGTAATTCGTGAGAAATTTAAAAAAATGGGAAAAACTGAAAGTGTCTCTTTCATTATTGTAGGGTAGTATATTTTTCAAGCAAGAAGCTGTCCTGCATACAGGGTGTTTCGTTAAGATCGCATTTAATATTGTTAATTAGAGTTCTTATCAAAAATGAAAAAAAAAAAAAAACTACACATGAGTTCACAGAAAACAGCCTTGTCTACTGTAGTTTGTAAGACTTCGGTTGTACTTTTTTCTCCCTTAAAAACTTTTTCTTAAATTTTTGTAACTTTTTTTCAAACTGTCATGTTTATACTTCGTTGCCTTTATTTTTGATAGAGATTCTAATAAGGCATATGAAGGATGGTCTTTACGAAACACTCTGCATATTTAACATCTTAAAGACCACTTTAGCTCGAAAGCAGTCTTAAGGTTGCTGCCTTTAAATATAGTTCTTTTATTCATAAATTAATAAGCTAAATTTTATTCATAAAATCATAAGCTAAGATTTTATTCATAAGTTCATAAGCTTACATTCATAAGCTAAAAATTTTTTTCTGTGAGTAAACACTTTAATACTGGCACACCAGCTGATAGTTTTTTCTATAAATTTAGCAGAATTTTTACAGTGTCTCTCTCTCTCTCTCTCTCTCTCGTATACCTGTTAAGGCAGAAGGGTGCGCTTGTTCTTGTTTTCCAGTGGCACCATCTATGGAAAAAAATTCGACTTCTGCCTCACCCATATGTCACACCCGTTTATAGGGCGGACCCATTCATACATCCACTCATTCATCCACAGGTCGTAATTTTGACCTGAATCTGAGAACGACTAATCTCCAATCCAGCACCCCAAGAGGTATTGATTTGTTATGGGAACATTGAGAACTTTGCGACTCGACAGACTTAACGTGCATCAGTCATCATTTACAACACGGGGAGTCTTCGGTCGGCTGGGTTCGAACTCTCGGAAATGGGCCCAGCGCCCTACCGACCAGGCTATCCCGGTCCCTTTTTTACAGTGTGATCTTGTGGATAATTTGATGAGATTGGTTGATGAAGACTACAATTTGTTCCTTCCACAGTCCCCAGATCTATATTTATTTGGCGAGATTTAACGAACTATCCATCATTAAAATTCACAACTATCCAGCCTTACACTATTTTAAAGTCATATGAACACTACAAACGGTGTATCTTGTTGTGTTGAGTCCATGCCAAGATATTAACTAGTTAAGCGCGTTTGACATGCATACACGATAGACCAGATCTCTATTGTGGTGTATATGACGTATACAGCACAATAAAAAAATTAAAAAATTCAACTCTTAGTGTAAAATAAGAAAAATTAAAATAAATAAATAGTAAAAATAAATAGTAAAATAATAAATAGTAAAATAATAAATAGTTAAAATAAACAGTAAAATAACAAAATTATTACTCTTAGTGTAAAATAAAAAATTACCATTGGCAATCAAAACTCGAAATTTTAACAAAATACAATAAGAAGATTACTTAAAAGTATGTTTCCATTACATAACCAATAGAACTGCAAAGTATTTTATATTGAGGTGCACAGGGGACTTGCGGCCTGAAGCAACACCTCCTAGATAAGAGCAGGCCTCAGCACGGGTTACCATAAATATTCATTAGTAGCCAAACGTAATGACATAGTTCGTATTTTCAACCACTGCACAGCTTAGTACCCCTAACGAAATGACATCTTTCTTATTTTTCATCTACTGCGCAGTTAACTTCGTTAGATCGACTACTAAATTGATTCGTGCTAAGGCCTTCCTTTTTCTAGGAGGTGTTGCCTGAAACCGCTAAAAAAGTAATCCTAATGAGCATTATGCATTTTGCCTCACAGATGGCAATGTAATCGAGAAAATTAAAATAGGGTACAAACTGTTTGAAATGGACAAACTGCTTAAATAAAAATAAACACTGTCAAAAAAAATTTCATCGATATTTTTCGAAAATAAAAAGTAGCGAAACATTTGTATTTCTGTTTCAACCTGATGGCTTTCGAGATGTTACCATTTTAAGACATTTTTACACCATTTTCATTTTCGTCGATTATAGCTTCCACTGTGAACGTAAATTCAAAAACTTGTAAGTCAAATTGGGGTAAATTTTTCTGGAGCACCCAAATCTTTCATAAAAAAATAGAGAAGGGATTTATTTAAGATTTTAAAGTTGTCGCTATCCGACTTTTAGGGATTGGGTTGTTAAATAGAGCGCTCGAAAATATTTCCCACGCATATTTTCGATTCCTTGCGTATTTCCCAAAATATTTTACTGTTTATATAATCTACAGACACCTAGTAGTCATCTCAAATCTAGTAAGTGACAGTTTGTGAAATACTCTTAATATTTATTATGAACATTGTTCAAAATCTTTTTAATTTCTTGCATCTTACATTAGAGTTTCTCATTTAACGAACTCTCTTTATCAATAATAAAAGAAACTGCTCTGATATATGTAAGTTTTTTTTTTCATTTCGTCTTATAATTCACAGAATAATTTCACATTCGAATATCATAACCACCTTGATGAGAAAATAAAAAATAGTTTTGAGAATGGGTAAATTACTTACATCACTTTGAACTTTCCAAATGAGACTGTTTACTTCCCATTTACAAATGTAACGATCTAGTCCAGCTGTTACAAAACATGCCTTATCAGGATGGCAAGCAAGAGCTCTCACATCATCACAGTGTCCCTATAATTAACATAATTCAACTTTGTGAAAACTGCCGCCATACAAATAGACAGAACATTAATCACGGCAGCATTTTTCATATATTGTATGCATGAGTAAAAAATTTAGACATTTTGTTGAATATCTAAGTTATGCATAGAATGCTTAAAATCGGAAGTAAAACATTAATATTTCACATTTTGTCAAGGAGTTTTATATAATGTTAAATAAGAAACCAAGCTGGCGAAGTATAAAAAGGAATTCGAAAGATATAGCGTCTGGTTATTCAACATAATTCCTCCAATTTATACTTTATCGTTAACAACTATAATAGGTTGGCTAAAGCGATTTAGCCGGTCTAAGCACCGAAAATGCGAAAGTTTTTTAAAATCATTTTATCATGTTAGAAACCAACTACAAATTATAGGGATTTGGTAAAAATGCGGTTTTTCATCTCCGCGCCAGGTTTTCCTGCGGTTTTCCATTTCCGATCTGTGGCGCCAGGCATGGTGCGTAGTCGCCATAGGAATCAGCTGGATGACGTACACAGGATCGGCAACCTTGTACCTTTCTTCAGTATTTAAGAAGCTTCGAACATTGCTCCGTGCACATACCACACCATTGGACTCAAGCGTAAGCAGAGTGCGGTTGTGTTGTGACCAGCTCTGTGCGATTGAATCATGTCATCACGATTAGGTTATGCTCCTGGACTTGTACCTTCACGTGTTGGTTATTCCTCATGTGGGGGCTCTAACCATCGATCCGGCAGGGGATTCAAGACTATGTCTAGCGCTCCTCCAAGGACAACTACACCTCGTCTAAAGGTTGATTTTCCTGACTACAAGCAACCGACCATGACTGAATTCCTAGTTCCCGAGGTATCAACAAGGATTTGCGTCTCAGCTAAACCAACTCCAGTTCTTGAAACAACCATGCCTGAACAGCCGAATCCCCCCGTGGAAAGTCCAATTATGGATATGGAAGAGAGCACCCAAGCTCCTGAGGCAATCAACATCACCCCTCCTATGGAAACGGAGCAGATTCAAGAGTCGATTGAAGAGGCTTCGTCCTCCGAAGCGGAAAAATTCACCAGCAACAACAAAGAGCCACAGGTAAAGAAAAGAAAGAAGAAGAAGAAGAAGCCCACTAATGCTACTAAAACCACTGATAGCTCATCGCCTACAACAACTAACAACTCTTCTCCTTCCGAGTCCCTATCTCAGCCGGAGCCAACGACTACTACTACATCTGAGACTACGAACGAGACTCCCGATAATGACAAAGAGACTTCCAAAGTTACTGAAAAAGCTCTGCCTACAAAGCACGCCAAAATACTCATTCGTGGGAAACCAGATGATTTTGATGCAGAAAATATTTTCCATGAATTTGGAAAGATGGACTTAAAACTTCACGAAGTTATCCAGTTCAAGAAGAGGGTCGGCGGGGCCTATAGGCTCCTCCCCTTTTTTCTCATCATTGCACCAATAGCAGATCAGGAAAAGATCTTCGCTACGAAGCGTATACTACAGATCCCAGTTAGTACCGAGAGATTTCTAGGCTGCCGGCGGCCGCCACAATGCTTCCAATGCCAGGGCTTCTGCCATTTTCAGCGATCCTGCTCAAATCAACCCAGATTCATGAAATGTGCAGAAATGCACTACTCATTTCAATGCAAGAAGGATAGGAATTCTCCCGCCAAGTGCTGCAACTGCGAGGGAAGCCACACCTCCAATTTCTCTGGGTGCGAGGCCCGCCCCAGAAGAAAAACCTCACAGCCTAAGGATACACCTGCTACCGCAGCTCTTCACCTAGTCACCATCGTGAAGGAACTGCAGGAAATCAAGAAGTGCTCGGTTTACTTCAAACTTTACTCAAGGGGTCTTCCCCTTCGGAATGATGATCCACAACTGCAATTCATGCCCATCTCCAACTGGGATTTGATATTTGTTTTATCTCTATGGACATTATCTCAGTCGCCTACAGGCATCACAACCGATGAAGAAGTGGAGTGTCCGCTTGGCGGACAGGTACTTCGAATTCCATCTCAGCTCAAGCTCAAGCTCTGTGCACACATTAATGACCATACCTTTACAGAGTCTAGCTCTGTGCGAACCATGTCTCATCGAACTGCCCGCGGCGGAAAGGTTAGCCCTTCCGACCGCCCACGAACCTCATCTATTGATGTTGCATCTATGTTAGATAAGCGGTATCTACTGCCTAAACACTATGACCCCCATTAGATGAAAGACCATCTACTATCGATTACAACTGATGTTGATGCAATTAACAGAGTGAACAATGCCTACGTACAGATTTTCTTCGCAACGAACGATCCATACTATATGCATCTCGCCGGTGGAGCCTATCAAGCCATTCAAGCCCTTAATGCCAGACCATGGAAGCTCTCTTCCACTAAGAGAATGGAGCCACCACCGAAGAGAAACTCACAGACTTCCACTTTACATGAAAAAACTGCATCTGGTTATATACCTTTATCCTTTTTCTCCAAAAAGTCAAATAATGACCAGGTTAAATATTCTGTGTATGACAAAGAACTTTTGGCGATTTATTTGTCAAAAGTTCATTTTCGTTACATGTTGGAAGGAAGGGTATTTCATGTTATAACTGATCATAAACCTTTGACACACGCCTTTGCCCAAAGTTTTGAAAAGTGCTCTCCAAGACGTTTACGACAACTAGAATTTATATCACAGTTTACTTGTGTTTTACGATATTTAGCAGGCGCAGAAAACTTAGTTGCAGACGCTTTGTCAAGGGTAGAAGAAATTGCTTTTCCTGACAAAATTGATTATATGCAAGTTGCAGCTGAGCAGTTGACTGATGAGGAATTGCAGGTATATTTAAAAAATCCAGATGTTACTAATCTTAAATTTAAATTAATTGTTTTGCCTAATTCTGATGTAAATTTGTATTTTGATGTCTCCCAACCTAGTGCTCGTTTGTATGTACCCATGAAATTTCGAAAAATGATTTTCGATTCTGTACATAATCTTGCACACATCAGTGCCCCATCTACTGTTAGACAGTTATGTATTGTACATATGTTTGGCCTTCAATTCGAAAAGACATTGTTCAGTGGTGTCGCACTTGTTTAAGTTGTCAAAAGGCTAAAATACATCGACACTTAATATCTCCATTGGGCAAAATTCCTGTGCCTAATGCTAGGTTCCAACATATGCATTAGGACCTGATTGGCCCTTTACCGATGTGTAGAGGATATAAGTACTGTTTGACTTTAACTGATCGGTTTACACGATGGGTTGAGGTGGTACCTCTGCAAAATATCACGGTAAATACAGTAGCACGAGCAGTGATTTTCAATTGGGTTTCACGGTTTGGTGCTCCTCTTAGAATTTCAAATGATCAGGGAAGACAACTCGATTCCTTCACTTTCAAGAAATTAGCACAAATTCTTGGTGTTGAAATTATACGTACAACTGCATACTATCTTAAGACCAATGGGATGATTGAACGTGTTCATCGAACATTATAAGCTGCCCTTATGTGTTATACTACAGATTCTTGGCTTGATAATTTACCATTAGTTCTCCTGGGTTTGAGGGCAGCTGTTCGAAAGGATTGGAACTTCTCATCTGCTGAGTTAATCTATGGGCAAACATTGAGGGTTCCCGAAGAGTTGTTTACTAACTCGGGAAATGACATCTCGCAGTCTGAATTGATTTCTCAGTTGCGTAAAGCATTTAGTGAGGTCATGCCTGTAGCTTCTGTTTGGCATAACAAACGGGTTGTTTATGTGCCTAAGGATATTCAGACTTGTACGCATGTGTTCGAGCGACATGACACCGTACGGAGATCATTACAACCTCCGTATGATGGTTCATATTTAGCTCTTAAGAGAAAAGCTAAAATTTATCTTCTGCAGATCTCCACGAAGAAAAAGTGGATTTTCATCGACAGGTTGATACCAGCGTATTTGAAAGTGGACCAGACCCTCTCTTTAATCCACGGTTATTCTCCTGGCCAGTCTGACCATTCTGCAACTACAACTTCCGAGTCTCTTTTGGCAGAAAAGATATCGGATTCAAAGAAGTACGTTACTCGGTATGGAAGAAGAGTTCGTTTCAGAATCTGACGACTATGAAACTCCTGTGGGGAGTGATGTGGCGCCAGGCATGGTGCGTAGTCGCCAAAGGAATCAGCTGGATGACGTACAAAGGATCGGCAACCTTGTACTTTTCTTCAGTATTTAAGAAGCTTCGAACATTGCTCTGTGCACATTCACACTTAACTCTTACTTTTCTGTTTTTATCTTGTTATTATGTTTCAGTTGGTAATAAATGTTGTTTGATTTTGTCATAGTTGTCCTCAACTTAATATGAGAGGGTTCCTCCTTCTCAGATCATTTTAAAAATGAGTAACATATTTTTTTTTATAAATTCTTCAATGCACTGTAATCGGATATTTTTTTCCGAAAAATTAAAATTAACTTTCAATAATAATTCACTTAATCTATTCTGTAGTTATGTTTATGGAAGATATGTTTGACATCATTACCCATACAGCAGAAATAACTACAAAATAGGGAGAGAAGTTTCACTTTGTTGGGAATCATTTAAATAGTCTCAGAAATGCTTCTAATTTACATCTAAAATGTAAAAATTTTCACCTTTTCTGAATATTTATTTTTTATTTTTTTAAAAAATTTTTTATCAACATTTGCGAGGTCAGAAACGCAAAATTGTTTCATTCACTAGAAAAACTTTTTTTTTATGTATATATAGATTTCTTTTGTACTATGAAAAAAGTCATTATTATTATAATTGCTTTCCTTGGCGTGTGTCACAAGGAACTGAAATTTCAAGCCGATGAGCTGTTATAAGCATGAATGCTTAATCATAAAGTACGGAGCGAAAAAAAAATTAAACCTTTCTCTTGATTTCACTTACGGTGATTCTTGTTACAATTTTATTTTGTAAATAAAAGATTAGAGAACTAAACTATTGAACGTAATTACTCAATACAAATAAAAAAATTTGTTTAAAAATATATTTCATTTTAAAAATGTAATTTCAGAAAAGAATTATGTGCAGGCAAGAAAGAGATCGAATGAAACTTGAAACTTAAATAAGCGTGGGTATTCATGACGTTCGAAAACTGATGGAAAGGACTGGAAAGAACAGAGCTACGAAAGGATTTGAAGGACCTTCAATTTACTCAGCAAATGATAAGCATAAAATATCATGCATAGCACGAAAAAATTATTAATAGAGTTCTGAACAATTAAAAAAAGTTTTATCTCCCTATGGAGATACTCTGTTAAAACAAAAGAATGCCGTTGCAAGTTAAGAAAAGACCATTGCGGCATAGGATTTAAGTAATCATCCGTGACTGCATGTAATTCCGCTTTATTTCGTTATCAAATTATGCAAAGATGCTTTCAAAACAATACAAAAGCTTTTAAAAGTAAAACATGTCTGACAGAAATTTAATTCGTGCTTTCTTTTATGATATATATCATAGAATTATTTAAAAAAAAGTTATAGTTTCGTAGCCTTACTGGAAAACTAGACAAGGCGACACATTTCAATAAATTAGGGAACATTCGTTCTTGAAATAGACACAGCTAAATGACGTTGCAGCACCATTGGATTTGATTGGACCATGAAAAATAGCGCTTCTTATGCTGACATGCTCTTAACAAATCAAATGTGAGATAAAGAATTTTTACTTTCGTTTCGCTGAAGAAGAAAATCGTTTGCAAGAAATTTTTTTATTTATTATTCTTTCATCAGTTTCTTTAATTATGGACAGAAAGACGTACATTTCTAACGATTTTCAGATATCATTTTTATTAATTCTTATTACTTGTGAATTGATGATTGTTGTTAACAACTGTTATTATTATTAATAAGAAAGCAATTAAAAAGGAGGTAGTGCAATGTCGTTTCAAGAGTTGGCGATATTGATATAAGTTCAGGGTGGGAGCTTGGCATCTATTTAGCGTACAATTAGCTCCCTCCATAGGGATAATGGATTTTTCTGAACTTGAGACAGTCCTCACATTTCTAGACAAGCCACAAAATGGCTTGATAATAATGGAATAAATATTTAAAAGTGGCCTGCTTCATCTCCTGATTTTAGTTCCACAAAGGTTTATAGAGAAAAATTAAAAATTGTCTCGAAAAAGCGGGAAAAAAAACATTCAAAGAACTGAAGGAATATCTGTTAAAATATGGGACGAAATAAATTTCGATACTCTCAAAGTCTCTCTACGAGAGACTTTGAGACCTCGTGCAAAGACGGTTTCAAATGATTATTACTGTTAAAAGAGAAAGAATTTATAACTTATTTATCTGTACAATGTTGTATAAAGATAAGACTTCTTGAAACACATTTTAATTTCTGATTTCTTTTTTCATTTACTTAAATAAGACATTTTTAAAGGTCTCAATTTTTCTGCTCCCTACTGTACATGTTTACAAATTTTTGAATGACAATTCTCTTCTCGCGTGGATAACAGATACTTGGAACAAATTGAGCTAGCTATAAGTCTGGAGGAAATGAAAGGTTTACAGCGAACAGTTCATATGAAACAAATTGCTCCAATTTTTTAAAATTATTCTCATAAATCTGCGAAGATTCAATAATAATTTAAAGCTATATTTTTGTTTTAATGATGCTTTATAAATACCACGGGAGAAAGATGCGTCTTCCTTTCGGATTCAATCAGTTATAATTTTCTTTATTTTCTTATCTTTCAATTTCGGTTTTATTCATTTTGCGAATTTATATTGAAGGAAAATTTCATGAGTGATTGAAAAACATGTAAGATATTTCGTGTTTTCAAACACTGAAGTATATATATATTTATATATATATATATATATACAGTCCAAATTATTAGGCGCACTGTGAGATTCTATGTAAAATTTCAATTATCAGGTGAGAATTGGTTAGCATTATAATGCAATACATTAAAAATAGATACAAATAGGAAGTATATATAAAAAAAATCTCCTCTATAAAAGCCTATTACATGTATGCATATAAACTCGTGCAAAGCATGCAATTATTAAAACACTACAGCGGATCCAATAATTTGGTCTAATTATTATAATATACTAATCTAATACCTGATATAATAAATATTCTATGTTTATATAATATATTGTCCAATTTATCCAATCGTCGAATTTATATCATATATTGTCTAATTTCACCAATTGATACCTGAACGAAATCAAGTGCAAACTGGTTTCAGTCGCGTAGAAACAATAAAGCTGTTTAGTATCCCCTGACAATTCAGATTTTACATAAAATCTTATAGTGCGTCTAATAATTTGGCCGGGGATTATATATCGAAAAAAATAATCAAAACTTAAAATTTAATTGAAAATTAAAATTGAAAATTAAAATGCACACAAATAAACAATTATAAGATACAATTACCTTTTTTTCAAGCCCTACGATTATATCCTCAAAAATTAGAGCTCTAATAATAATTTTCCTTTTTAAATTTTTATTTTATTTCAATCTCGATTGTTTTATATATGTCTGAATGAAATTAAGATAAAACATGCACCAGAGTAAATAAAGTTATGTTTAGGAGAGAATATTAAGTCGGAATGCATGTATACGCTAATTCTTAAAATAAAAATAGCTTGTAAATAAATCATACGCGTAGCAAAAAGAGAATATTAAGGTGAATTCAAACTAAACTTAACAGATCATCAGCAGGTAGAATTTGTACATTATAAACTTATTTAATACAGTTCACGGAAATTTAGAAATTAAAATATGAACAACTTATTTAGAAAGATCAAGAATAAAAAACCGTAAAGAAATTTTTTATTCTGCACATTTATATATATATATATATATATATATATATATATATGTGCAAAATATAAAGTTAGTGATTTTTTATTAGTTTTAGTTTCTGTGAAGTTTTTAGCCAATGTTTTTTTTTACTGTCCTTCAGCTTCTGGTAAACTTGTTTACAAAACCGACCGTTAGTTGTGTTCAGTAGGCATTAGCGTTTCTTTTTCGAGCAACTATTTTAAAGAATAAATAAAATTGGACTCTGTAACGTCGACAATGCAGATTTGAATAGTGGCCAAAGAAAGCCACGTGACAATCTGTTTTTCTATTGATTTTTACTCGGAGACTGCCTCGTGTGTCTGCGGTACTTCTTTTAAGATTTCGCGAAATCCATTTAGTTTCGTCGAGAATATATTTATTAGTGGAAACAATAAGCTAATCTTAGAAGAAATGAATGTTTCAAAAAAATTTAAAAAAAAAACAAGTAATCTTTATTTAATATACTGTGAAGCATAGTTAAGTTTCGTGTTTAAAAAAAAATTATTGCTGTGTGTGGACTTTTTTCCAAATTCAATGCGAATAAAAGCAGTTTTTATGACTTAAAGCTGCCAAAAACTTAATTAATTTTCTAACGTGCGTAAAAATAAATTCTCTTGTATTGTAATAGTTTATGTCACTTTNTATCAATTGAGTTCTATAAAATTGTCTTTGTACAGTCCAAAATTTAGTTAATGTAATATGAAAATTTTCTTTCTTTTTTTGAAAAAAAATTGTGTTCTGATTTGTATAAATTTTTTTTTCTAACTTTGGATCAAATATTTTAAGCAAGATATGATCTCTTGACTTTTTAAATGTAATTTACTTTGTGGTAATTTGGAAACTTTGAATATTTTTTATATATATATATATATATATACGTACATAAAATCTTACGTATATAGATTAAATTATATGTTTTTGATTCATAGCTTTCACAAAATGTAAGCGTTACGTATTTTAAGAGTTTCATTTTTTAAAAGTGTATCAGCATACATATAAAGTTAGACTAAAATATACAAGATTCCAGAGCCGACAAAATACACAAACATTCTAACGCAGCGAGTTTGAATTGCGACGCAATCCGAAAGGAAGGGAGGAAGCAATTTCAGGTGTAAGCGAGCTCAGCGAGCAGGGAGTTAGCCCCTAGTTGCCACATAAATGTTATCATTCAAAATTATTCCATATAAAGACTTCATCGCATCGCATCTTCTCAAGAAAAGTAATGCAGTCAAAAATGCTTAAGTTTAGGAATTGTTAGGAAAATATCAAATTAACGTTATTCAATGTACGCTTTACGTTTCTTTCTGTGTGGTTTTTCTTTTAAAAAAAACGCATGCTTTTATTTGTGAAACATAAAGTGATATACTGATATCTAGAATAATGCCCTGCAAATATACTTACATGAACCACGGGATTTAAAGCCCACATGACTGATCCTTCCAAAATGACGTTTTTATTTGTACCTACGAAGAGTTCCCATTCATTAGTAACTGTTTTCTGGGGACATAATGAAGTTACCCCTCCCGAACCAGTTGGAAGCTGAAAGGAAAAATTTTTTTTTATATCAGATCTCTGCTTTAAATTACGTTAAAGGATAGAATATTGATATAAAAGATCAGTTTTAATCAGATTCTATCAGTCTCTAATTTTAAAAGAATTCTTTTGTTTTCTCCTATAATAAACGGTTGATGGGACAGTTCACTGTTTTAACCATACTAATGGATTAAACGCGATTTATGTGATTTTGTGACGGCAGTTTTAACTGTTAATCTACCTTATTGAACAAACATGAATTTTATTTTATAGCCGTCGGTGAGCCGACCTAATTTTGGGTTTACGATAACTAATGTTCAACTCTGTAGCCTTGTAATTTTGAACCTCATTCAGAAGACAAGGGAACTCCTAGATCAAATATTATGAGAAATTTGCCTTCGTGGAGGACTTTTTGATGGAACTAACACTCATTTCTGTTACACAGAGAGAAAAACCATGAAAACCTTCAACGGCTAGTCTGACTGCAAGCGGATCCCAATCCGTTCATGTACCGTCTAATCATGATCCGTCAACCACTGAAGAGGATACTTAACGTTAGTGCTATGATCGGTGCGAGCCGGGTGCGGATTCCGTATCGACCAGCCATCGCTGGAATTCGAATCCGGTTCGCCTCATTAGAAAACGAATACCCTGAGCCCCCACGGCTCAAACATAAATATTAGTCGCATTTTCATTAAATATAACAGCTACTTCCTCACACAGTAACTAGCAAAATTCGTTACGTTATAATACCGGTTCAATTTGGTCGGAACTCGAAAAAAGTTGCCGAAATCACAAAAATTAAATCGCTTAAAGTATTACTCGTTGACTTTTTTTAGTAAATAAAAGTATAAAAAATAATGTAAAGTAATTCATTATAACAATACTTTAATTATTAATATTACTTTATCCATACAAAATGGGAAGAAATTTCTGCATCAGGAATGTGACTTTTGTGATACATTTCTTTTCAATTGTTATAGGCCAATGATATTTGAGCATACTACCAATTAAAACTATATATTTTGTACTGTTTCTTTAATCAGTATCAAGTTGGCTTCATGTATAAATTTTATTATGACAATGTTTATAATACAAATTATTACATAAGTTCTTTTCAAAATTTCACTGCATTTACGGTTACATTTAGAACAAACTAAAGAAAATAGAAAATATCAAAATAATGTTATGAAAAATTCTTTTTAAATTAACTGTTTAAAAACTTTTAATCATATACTACGTAATGTAATAAATAAAAATTCTTAACTTTTAAGAAAACAATTTTTTCTGTTTGGTTCTAAGATTCACATCTAACAACTGCATGTATACGAATAAAATAACCATGTACAGTGCGGGAAATAAAAAAAAATATATTTCCCAGAATAACTTTTGATCTAATGATTGAATTTTCACGAACTATGAACTGATCATAAAATTTCAAAAGGTGACCTCAAATATGCTGATTAATTAGTGCAGACTATAATTAAAGTACAGAACAGAACATACAAAACAAAACAAACATATATAAATAGACTTTCTTTTCCTGTGTAAACGTACCTTTTTTCGGCGGATTTGGATTTTTGAATATGAAAAATTAGGGGGGGGGGAAGGGGAAACCACTATCTTGAAAATATGATCCCTATAGTTTAGTCAGGAGTACAATTAGTTTAGTTTTCTTCAATCGAATGAATTTAGATTAGTATACAAATTTTTACATAATTTTAAACTTTGCAGTTTTAAATGATAAAGGAAAAATCGAAATTGATCGAATAGTTCTTGAGAAATGGAGAATTAAAAGTATAACTTTCATGTGATTTTATAATTTAGAGACTATTCAAGCGATTTTGTTTAAATTTTGAACTTTGTTACTTAAGATTAGACAGTTTAAAATGATGTTACAATTTGCGTACTTTAAAATTCAATATTTTTTTCGACCCTTATTAAATAAAATAATAAACAATAAAAGATCACTATTAAATTTTTTTACGTCGAATCCTCTTTGGATCAACTAAATTGATAATAGCGTACAAAAGGTTACTTAAAAGCTTTCCGAGATATGGCTAAATACGCAACAAGTGACGTTAACATGAAGGAACTTTCAACAGTTCTCTTGTTGAAGTCATTCAGACCACTGATTGTGGCCACCCTTTCCCTTATATTTTGATGGGCATAATTTCAAATCCGTTGAAAAAAAGGTGGGTTTATTCACAGAAAGTACGTTACTGTGTCTGTTAATTAATCGTTAGCACTAATTAATTAGCATTTTGAAGTCCTCTTTGAACCTTCCAGATTGTCACTTAGTATGGGAAAATCCGGTCATTCAAACAAAAGTTATTTAAAGTGATATCTTTTTCTTTTTGCACGCAGTTCAGAATTGTAAGATTTCAAAATGAAACCTACCACAGCAGAAGCAAGATTCGCAAACTTTTTCGTGGTATCCCATACACGAATTTCCCCTTCTTGATCGTTGGCACTACCACCAGATACTAGAACTCCTTCAGGTAAGGGAAGAAGAGCTGTAACTTCTCCCTAAAACAACATGCAAATAATAGTGTGTTTTCCAATTGCTACTATCTTCAAGCCCGAGTGCAAATTTGTTATAAATTGTTCATAAAATGTGAGGAATCATTTGTTCATACATAACCGTCATTGAACAGCAGTCCCAATTTTTGGGTTTACGACTACTAATTTTCAAATACAATCTAACTTGTCCCTGCTGAAACAACATTCAAATAATAGTGTGTTTTCTTACTACTACTATCTTCAAGCCCGAATGCAAATTTGCTGTAAATTGTTCATAAAATGTGGGGAATCATTCGTTTATACATAACCGTCATTGAACAGCCGTCCCAACTTTTGGGTTTACGACTACTAATTTTCAAATACACTCTAACTTGTCCCTGCTGAAACAACATTCAAATAATAGTGTGTTTTCTTACTACTACTATCTTCAAGCCCGAGTGCAAATTTTTTATAAATTGTTCATAAAATGTGGGGAATCATTTGTTTATACATAACCGTCATTGAACAGCAGTCCCAATTTTTGGGTTTACGACTACTAATTTTCAAATACACTCTAACTTGTCCCTGCTGAAACAACATTCAAATAATAGTGTGCTTTCTTACTACTACTATCTTCAAGCCCGAGTGCAAATTTGTTATAAATTGTTCATAAAATGTGGGGAATCATTCGTTTATACATAACCGTCGTTGAACAGCAATCCATTTTTTTGGTCAACGACTACTAATATTCAAATACATAGCCTTGTAATTTTGAACCCAATCCAAAAGATAAGGGAAATCCTGGATCAAGTACTGGGAGAAATTTTGCCTTCATGGAGGACTTTTTGATAGAACTAACCCACATTTGCGTTACATGGAGAGGAAGACATCGAGAACCTCCCACGGTTAGCCTGACAGTAAGGGGACTCTAACCCATGATCCGGAGGATATTTCATGTCTGCACTGTAATCGGTGCAAGCTGGATGTGGAATTCGTATCTACCAACCATCCCTGGGATTCGAACCAGATGCATCTCATTGGAAAGCGAACGCTCTATCCCCTGAGCCAAAATGAAATTCTATGTTTAAAATAAAAAGGAAATGATGGACATCTGTGAAAAACAAGTGGGGGTCAGAAGGGTAAAAGGAGGGCGAACATATTTCTATCTTGACTAGTGAGGTATGGATTCTGTCTACGCTGAGCCAAATGAAATCATATCCAAGTAGATATAATTATTTAGAAGATATTAAGGTTTTACAGTTTAGAGTTCATATCTGTGTCTGACATTGTTATCTGAGCAAATAAGGTATGGCTTCCAATGCAATTGTTTTTTACCTTGAATGGAATGAGATCGGAACAAAATCCTGTAGTTTAAAAGTAATAACGGTTTTTCTGCTTAAAAAATTCAGTTTTACACTTTATTATTCAGTTATATACTTTTTACGAGTTTAATATTGTTATTTAGACAATCGATGTATTGGATATCAAATTAGGAACAGAAATGAATGAAACTAATGATAAATTCATAACAATGAAAATTTATAAGTTATGAGAGTTTTATGTATGAAAAGAAAATTATAATGTTTGACTAATAACCTTTTACATATAAAACTATCTTAACTTCGAAACTATTAGTTCAATTGACGTAATTTTGATTTAATTTGACTTAGAGAAAAAAATACATAGGAAATAATGCCTTCTTACTTGTCTAAATAGCAATGTAACGAAATTTACAATTGTAAATAAGTATAGGTACATAACTTTTTTTAAATTAAAAACTTTTAAAAAAGTCTCAGTTCTATCGACTCTGTTTTTTGCTTATTTTTAAAAAAAATTCAGCTGAAGAAAAGACTTATGAACCAACACCATACGTACATTTTCATATGCGTAACTAAGTATAAGTGGAAAACTGTACATTTCATGAAGAAAACCTTAATAACTTCTTTACTACTAGTTCTATCAACCTGGAATTGCTCACATTCGATTTTGCGTAGAAAAATACCTTGAAAACAGTACATTATCTGTCTAGATGGTAAAAGGTAAGTCCCCCCCTCTAGTCCAAAGTCCCAAACGTCCAACCTTTTTTTTCCTTCTTTTTTTTTAAAAAGAAAAAATTCTATAATGCATAAGGGTTAAAAGCTTGACTACTGACATTATAATTATACAAATATACACGGGATGTAATTGCGAGTCCTAGTATTGTCATTTGAAATATACAATTAAATAGCGTTTATCTTACGGTTTATCTTACGGACGGAAAAACGATAGTAAAATTTTTGGTAATAAAAACCATAATTCTGATTAATTAAACCAAAATATACCGCATTTAAATCATTCATTTAGCAATTTTACTTTCATATGGTAGTGATTTACCAGAAATTCTGGTTTTCAATGTTATGGTTCTTATTACCACACATTTAGTGAAAAACACAAAACTGAAAAGTAAATCAAGTGACCGAAAAGTAATTTAAATAAATTAAGTAACCGAAAGTAACCGAATAAATAGTTTTTATACCCTGCTCTAAAATATAATGATAAAATTACCAAATTTTACCATATTTATCAAATTTTATCATCTATTTTAAAACGATATTTTATCGTTAATTTTACCAAAATCACTATCAAAGTGATTCGGTAAAGCTATTAGCTTTTTGGTGTTCCCATAGAACCAGAAACACGGTAAATTTTACCATATTCTAATAGCTCTGACCATACCTTTTTCCTTCTGCGTAAATTTTTATAATTAATTAGATTGTTGTGCCTCAAGTTAACGGATCAATTACGCGTCAGATAAGCGATAAACATCTTCAATATTTGCTTATAAAACTACTTTAAAACTCTATAAAAACCAGTTGAACAGTTTAAATATTTAGTATAGAGCAAGGTCAAAATGATCTTCAGAAAAAACAAGAAAAGGCTGCTTTCTAATGGTGAGCATTATCTGAAAGAAGTGTTTGTAATCCTTTTCATATACTACTTTCAAAACAAATATATCTTTTTAATATAGCTATTAAGTATTATGAAATGTAAATTAAGAAGAATTACATTTTGTGATCCATAAAAAATATCTTCAATAATATTTTATACTATATGATCTATTCACAAATTTGGCTTTATAACTTGGCGAATTTGAGTATTTACTCTTTTTTCACCCTAATTATTCTCGAACTTGGGGCACAAAAAGAATCCTTTCGAGCTAGAAACTGAAAAATAATGAGATCTGAACTTTTCAGCGCATTTCATTCAGGCAAACTAGTAAGAGGCTATTTCACTCTCTGAAATCTCTCATTTGACGATTCAGTGATTCTTGAGCTGCATTTCGTTAATTTTGACAACAATTTCGCCACAGTGACGAAACGCGAACTCTTAAAAAATGTTTCTTCAAAATCGGAAACTCTTTGCAGTGCATTGTAGGAGATTGTTAAGTGGACTGGACTGTGTGGTGGTCAAGCAGTTGACCTCGTACCAGGAAGATCCCGCGTTTGAATCCAGCTTTGGACATGGGTAAAATTTATTTCTCATTTCTGTCAGTCTTTCTAGTGCTATTTGGGTGATATTAATACACATATATGGTACCTACGGCAAAGTTGTTATTAGGAAATTTATATACATTAGGCATTATGAGTTATTTAAAAAAAATAGAATGATGAAATTTTTTATTTTATTTTGACGAAATTCATTTCCTTGATAGTAATTTAGAAGAAATTTTTGCTTGGATCTGGAAACGGTGACGTCTAAAATGACGAAAGTTTCCTGAAATTTGAGTATCCATTTTCAACATCTTTAGCAACAAACAAGCATACGATGTTTTTAAAAATCCTGAAAAATGTAATTGGTTAGAAATTTTATAATAGGAAGAAGGAGAAAAGTTGGAAATTATGACAAAAAAATTAAAAATTGGAGGGGTGCATAACAATAGGGACAAAAGAAGCATCTCAAATACAATTTAATATTATCGTGAGAAAAGAACATATTTTTACAATTTCGTGCGAAGGATTTTGCACAAAAATCAATCTTAGCGACAGAATAGAATACTTACGTCATGTGCTTTGAATTCTTTCTGAATAAAAAATACTTTTCCAGAATCTTCGCTTAATCCCCATACAGTTATAAAACCTCTTGAATTACCAGTAACCAATTCACCATCAGAAAGAAACTCCATTGATAAAAAATTTGTTCCTGTGCGTCCCTATGCAAATAAAGATAATTGATTTGTTTTAAAATAGTTCTGCTGCTTACTTATAGAAAATAATAAAGTTAGAAAATATTGGCTATACAATATAAATATTAGGCTTTACTCTGAATTGGGCCATACTTAAATATTAGACTATACTCTGAAGTTTATGAGGTATCCTTGATACCATTCTTCCTACATTTTGTAATCATCCTAGTTATGCAAAAAATAATATTTTTGAAATTCTTGATCTATCGAAGTTTGATTGAGTTTTATGAAAATTTATTTTATCTAAGCATTTTTTTACAATTAATAATAGAAAACAATTAGTGTTAGTGAGAAATAAGTGGAAAACAAAAGTTTCTTATAAACTCATAATTAATCCCGTTAATTTTGATAAAAAGTATGAAAACAGTATCCGAAAGGTATAAAAACAATCTAAGATCTAAAAAAAAAGAAAAGAAAATTACGCATCGGATTAAAAATTACGCGTAAAATATTTTCAAAAGATACATTTAATGATCATTTAACTTATGGGTGGGGTAATTATCTTTATGGGTGAGGTAAGGTAATTATTCAGTAATAAGCAATTATATATTTATTGCGAATTAATATATAAATGAGCAAAATCAAAAGCAATCACACTCTAACCAATTATTATTAAATTTATTAGAGAAATTTTAAATTAAAAAAAAGCTCCTTAATTTGAAAAGGAAACTCAAATAACGTTTCTTATTAATATAATTGAATATATTTTAGTAATGCAATAATGATGTTTGCAATAATGGTGTTTTTGATCATTTTAATTACTGTTGCAAAAAACAATTGATAACACTGGGGAAAAACTTTTTTTGTTTTCTGTTGCATTAGATTTTTGAACTGTTCTTAGATATTTTCGTATCACTGATTTCAAATTTGCAATCGGTTTCTCTCTATACTATAGTTTTTACGCAATTTAATAATATATTCCTAACCAGGATTATTAAAATTCACCCACACTTCTCTGCAACGTTGTAAGTGGTGGGACGAAGGTGATAATACATTTCATTTTATGATGTCATAATATCTCTTTTTGTCTTACATGTAATTTTCAAAGGAGCAGATAAGTGTATGTGCACCCATGCATCACCCATTCTTCATAAACTTATATATTCAGACAAAAGAAAATATTATTTTGAAAAAACTTTGTAGCTTTCTGGATAAAACTAATTTCAGATATGAATTCCCCGAATCATTAGTAAGAACTTGTATGAATGCAACGGAAAATGTGTTCCAAAGTGTAACGATTTTTTGAGAACCTTTTGTTTTTTATTTAAATACAATTTATGATTTCTTTTCCATTTCATATTCTTCATAGATTATAAATATTTCTTAAGAGAGGTCATTAGAGAAAACATTCAAAACAATTGTTTTATAATAAGCAGAAAGTGACCTACGGAAATGAATGAATATGGTTTTAAATTTGATATGATTTCAATACTGGACCTATCCTTTAAGCATTGTACGATAGGATATAACGTCACTATAGAATAGCTTGCTTAAATTTTGTTTATAATCCTGTTAAAAGAAAATGTAACAAATAAATACAGGTTATATTAGTAAGGATATTAATCAATCAAGAAGACAAATTTAATAATAATGGAACATGAAAATCATTTAGTGTATGAAGAAAGCGATTAGATTAAAATGGAAAGGAAAACCAGCTTAGAGCAAGCACTGGTATTCGTTAATGCAGGAAATATTTGTTGAAACTCATCATTCCGACGGTATAGTCGGTCAAATCGTCGCTCACTTTGGTTGGAAAGCTGGAGGTAGTGAGTTCGATCCTGAGAGCTGACAAAATAACCGCGTGCATACACAGCGAGGTGAGCGTTAAATCTGCCGTGGCTGAAAGTCTTTTCGTTGGTTGTGGAAGTTTGAAGAAGAGGGTACTAGCTCAGATGCTGCTCACGTCATCTGATCAAAGTCAAAATTACGTGCCATGATCGGTAAAAGATAAAGCTTTAAAAATTAGGCTAGGTGCTTGGCCATGATTGAGTGATGTGTGTATGTAATGCCACACTCATAAATACTCGATTATTATTTTTACGAATTTAAATATTAAAATTTTCTTTTCCATGAATATCTCTTATGCGATAAATGAATAATGATTTTTACTATTACCATGCAATATCATGTATTGTTTATATTGGCGCTATATTTGAATAAACATTCTCGTGTTAAAATTTACTCTTTTTATGATTAAAACCTGATTACAAGCTATTTTTTGCCATTTCAGTTTTTGTAGTTTTTAGAATTAAAATCTTCTGAATCATGTTGCTAATGATTATTATTTTTATAATGAATGGTTAATGGGCTCTTCATTTATTTTGGCAGCCTATAACAAAAGTGCAGCTTTCAGTGAATGGATATATTCAACATGAATTATTTTTAATTCATGTTAAAAATATTTTATATTTAGCGATAAAAAGCATTATTTGGCAATCATATTAATAAATTGTTATAGTTCTGATAATGCTTAAAAGTTCGCTTTGCCAGAGTATAGTGGTAGAAACAGTCAAGTGAATATGTTTAAGCATCGAAACCTATCTGAACGAATGATGGGTCAACAGTTTCTAAGTCAGATTCTTAGACCAAGAGGTGAACTAATAAAGTGTCTGTTATCAAAACCTCTTTCGGTATTTTACGAAGTAGGCCAATTTTAGATTACAAGCTAAATGAAGTTATTTAATAATCTACTTTTAAACAATATTAGTTATAACAACTCTCAAAAGTGAAACCAGTTTAATAAATGAAATATGATGTATTCTAAAATTATGTTGGGTACATAATTTCTGATTAACAATGTTAGAAATAAAATTGAAACAACTTAGGTTTGGTTAATATTTCATGCAACTATACAGAAAATGATGTTTCTGTATATTATAATGCTGATTTTCTGAAATGCGTAACTGAAATACGAGACGTGTACTTTTGCCGAGAATTTCCGTTATTAATTTTATCACACCTTAATAAAACTCAATGGGTTGGAGTAACGCATGGAGATAAGCTACATTTTTATACCTAACTGTTCTTTAGTATTCTTTCTAAATAGATTAATCAAAATCTTTACAAATATCTGGAAATTTTATCATGGTATTTAACAAAAAAACGCCCTGCAGATTGATTTTAAAAATTGTGGTCTATTATATTGCGTTTGCCGACCAGGTGGCCGAGTGGTTAGCGTGTCTGACTGCGGAGCCATTGGCCGCTGGTTCGAATCTTGCTCAGGGCGGGGATGTTTCTTTTTCTCTCTGTGTTCTATGTTCTTTCCTCTTTGTGTGAATATGCCCCGCCCTATATTGTGGTTGTGTGACGTGGGCGACGCTTCTCCACAGCTGCAGGTGCCCACTGGGTAACGAGATGAGAGTTTTGGCATTTCTGTGGCCAATGGGACAAACCCCGAGTGCCCGCCATTTAAAAAAATATCTTGCTATAATTAATGCAAATGTAAAAATGCAACTCTAAATGTTAAGCATGATGCAGTAAAATATCTACTTACAGCTGAGAGTGGATCCTTCCGAATCAGTAAACCATTGGACTCTTTGAGCCAAAAAGCTAAATGTTGTCTTCCATATGTAACTATAATATCGTCTTCTATTGGATGAAAAGCACCCCCAAGTAAGGATTGACCTGTCTAAAAAAATATTTTTCTTTTACATTTGTTCCACATCATTGCATTTATTTTTACAGCACATTGCAAGTACAAAAACAATTATTTTCTTTCAGTTTACACTTTCAATTATCTTCGCACACTTTATTTTGTTCTTAAATTTATTCAAAACACAATAGCGACAATTTTTTATCAAGATATTTCCCCATTCTTAGAATGCGTTCTAGTATAAGGGCTTGAGTTCTATACTTAAATCTTATTTTTGGTTACATACATTTCATCTTTTTCAGTCATCAAAGTGGGAGATTTTTGACATGCATTAGAACTACAATAATGAGCTATTAACGAGGGTTTGATGTGAATGGTCAGAAAAGCACTACACAGCCACAGACTGGGTGAATACTGCCATCTTCTGAACAGATGTATTCACCCAGTCTCATGTTTCCCATCCACCCAACAGAGAATGGACGTCTATAACCATCAGAGACATTACGCTAGGAAGAATTTAGACACGATAAAAAAAATCTCATCAGACACCCATAAATAATCAAATTTCGGCTGAAAGGTTGGCTCTATCCATCATATTGACCGGGCAGCCATTTAATAAAAGATTTTGTCAAAATAAGAGAATTTACCTCTGTATGTATGAAGACCAAGGGAGAAAAACTGTTTATGTCAATTTTTCAGAAAAACGACGGTTGGATCGTCATCTTTTGCATGTTTAGGATTACAGAGTTTTGACAAATCAATAAAATAAAAAATCGGTTCTCCTCGAGAGTTATTAGACAGTGAAGATGAGCCGTACTGTGGAAAATCCTTTCCTCGCCGTATGCAATATTGTTTTTTCTCCAAATCAGCTTTTACAGACATAAAATGTTACCTCCGCCCGTAGTCTTTATATATTATTGTTTATGATAAAATGCATGTGAATGGTATGAGTTGGTTTTCTTTAGTGTGAAAAGTACTTTGCAACATAAATTAACTTAATTTGAATCATCTTGATTCGTATGGTCTGCTTTATTAGTATTTGGTTAACTATAAATGTTTATTTTATAGGGTATCAAATTCTTATTGCGATTCAGATAAAGGTTCATATGAAAAAGATATTGATAAACATTAATTTGACTTCAATTGGGATTTTTTTTTCATTAGTTTAAAATTTGACTAATTATTCGCAAAGTTTTTTATAGTTTGTAATAAGAAGAGATTTTTGAATTTATTAATATTAAAGGCTTTTTAATTGATTATAAAACTAAAAAAACAAAGCGAATTTCATCATTGGAGCCTGAGATTATAATTGTTAATAATAAGTTATTATTTTTATTGTACATTATTTTTCATTTTTTTGTGTGTGAAACAAAACTTTACCACATAAATGTAAACAAACTTGGTAAATCATTAAGTTAATCATATAAATATTGTTTACTGAAATCTAACTTACTTTAAATTTTGTATTATTTATTAACACTTATTTCACTTACTAAATCAATAAAAGCCACTTCGAAAAAAATGTCCATGCTTTAAATTCAATGATAATCATTGCAGTATGAACAGTATAACTGAAAAAACATTAAAACAAAGTACTTACGGAGACACGGGTTATTTCTGTATCATTTTGCCAATCCCATAATGATATTGTTGTATCCTGAAGTCCTTCTAAAATCATCATTGATGATCCCTAAAAACACGAAAGTATTTTTTTGAAAATATAAAATTGAAAAGAATTTTGTTCGAAGAATTCGGTGACAATCTATGCCAATATTTAAAAAAAATTGCTTAATTAGAGTGAATGAACGAACACAGGCTATATATAAATTCTAAAAATTAAAAAAAAAATACATAGTATTGAAAGTAATTACCTCCCATGAAAAAACTGCTCCAATAATATCATTTTCTAGCTTTCCCTGTCCTATTACAGCAATTGTTGTCAAATCATCTGCTCTCCAAACACGGATGTGAGCCTAAAAATAAATACTTATTTGTAAAAAGGGGAAAATCGAGTGAATAAAATTACTGAAATCTTATTTAAATGATAAAATAGACGTTTAGCTCCAAAACACAAATATTGTAATTTTTAATTTTAAAAAATATATACATTCTGTAGGGTAAATTAATTATTATTATTTCGAAGTAGGCAGATATACGGTTTTATTTGACCTCTGGTCAAATGAAACTCGGTTTATTAAAAAAACAATGAGAATTTTTTTTGGATGAAACATTTATTTATGGCAACAAATTAATATTATGATCTTCCTACACTGAGAAATATCCAAGTGTTCGAAATTCAGGGATCATAAAGAATGTATTTTGAATTTTTCGTTAATTTAGTTTATTGATCAGTTTTAAGAACAGAAATCACAAAAGTAAATATATAAATAAAAAACAAAACGAAATTTATCCTGTTGCTTTGCAATGCAATAGACTTCATGTGCCTATCATCTACATTTGAGACTACCAGGAATTCTGACTTGGACTATTGTGAAATATAGCTACCCGGTGTGATTGAAAAATCCCGATTTTTTCTCATAGTGCCATTTAGCTGGAATAAAAAGTTTAGTGTCTTTTAAACTTGCTATTAAACCTGTTTAAAGAAGCAAAAACTATAGTTACAAAGAAGTATAATGAAATGTCATCAAAATGAATCAATTAAAAACTACTAAATTAAACTGACGGAGTAAGAATCGCAACTTTCCCAATCGAATTTTTAAAAATTCGACAAAAAAATGGCAGACACTGTTTATCATTTATCTTCAAATAGCATGGTGTCTGTTCGCGACTAGTTTCATGCGATTTCTCATAATTGAAAGTAATAAATTAGTCAAAAATGTTGGTTCTCGGATTTAAGCCAGTTGTCTCCTATGTTTTCTTATAGTAGTTATCAATTATTTTTCTAAATAAAAATAAAGGAGGAAAAACATAAATTTTTAATAATATTTAAATAATTTGAACATTTTCGATTTTTCTACATAATTGTTATGACGTTAGATACATTTTTGTTGCCGATGTAATATGTTTTTGTCAAACAAGCTCTTCACCACGTGGAAGCACTGAACATTCACGTCGTTATGGTAGCTAAATTGCTTTCTGACCATATGTTCTTTAAAATTTAGGAAACAAGTCAGTTGGGTGCCGACTACATGGTACGATCTGTTACCCAAAGAAATTAAGTTAGAAAGTTTTTATTAAATTAAGTTATGTCACGCGTGGATTACAAAGAATATTGCTTCCTATTTTGTTTCGATTCACAGTAACTTCACATTTCGACTAAGTCGTTATTCAGGGTGTTCTAAATTAAACTAATGGCTTTAAAAACTTTGTAGCAGGGAAACAGTTAAGAATTCGAAGAAAAAAATTCTTGGAACAATTTTATATCACAATTATTTATCCCCCGCATAATTATTGGTTCAAAATTTTTTCGAGAGATGGAAGTTTCACTACTTTTTTCCTTTGCGTAAAAAATGTAGGATTATGATGTGCCATTTCCTTTTATTTTATAACACAGTCTACCCGTCTACCACCGAGAATATTTTACTGTGGTTGGTGCAATGTGAAATTCGTATCGACTAGCTATCGCTGGGATTGGATGTGTGATTGTAGCTGATGAAATTCGATTTCTCAGAAACTATTCGACTGATTTGGCTCAAATTTTGTATTTTGCCGTATAAAATTACATTCTTTAAAATGATGCCAAAAATTGCATACCTTACATTTCAAATTTTTTTTAACCATTCTTAAATAAAATATAAAAAAATAATAGATATTTACTAAAAGTTATTTTTTGCATGAAATAATCCTCGGATAAGCAAATTTTATAATTGTGATTATCTTAAAAAGTTTTCGAAATATAGTAAAATATGAAAAAAGTAAAATTAACATTATGGGGTCCAAACGTTGGATCGCTCTCCTGACCTTATTTCCCAGATAGCGGCTACTCCCTATATTTTGGGAGTCAGAAATCCGTCGAAAAAAGGTAAGTTTATTCAGAGAAAATACGTTCTTGAGCCCGATTTCGTAGTTTAAGACAATTAATTAACGCATTTGAGGTCACCCCCTCGAGCCATTAAGATTGAGTCCTAGAAAGTGAAAATCAGGGTGGTCAGTTTTTTCTTCTTTTTTTTTTCTTTGCGCACCTTGCGAAATAATTGAGTTATTTCTCCAAATGTTGCATATTTTCGTTTCTGAAATAGTTTCTGTAAGTTGGTAAAAATAAAAATGCCTTCTTCATATTCAGGTCAAAAATAGAGTCAAGATTCCAGCGTAATAACAAGAAAAAAATATAAGTAATTATAATTTTTTGAAACTTTTCTTCTTCTTTTTTTTTAATGGCGGGCCCTTGGGGGGTGTCCCATTGACCACAGGAATGCCAGAATTGCTACTCTCTTCTCGTTACCCAGTGGGCACCTGCAGCGAACCCACGGCGGTGGAGCAGCGTCGCTCACGTCACACAACCACAACCCGTTTGTAGGGCGGGTCACATTCACACAATCACACACAAAGGCGAAAGGACATAGAACACAGAGAGAGAGAAAGAAACATCCATGCCCTGAGCAGGATTCGAACCCGCGATCAGCGGCCCCGTAGTCAGGCACGCTAACCACTCTGCCACCAGGTCGGCTTTTGTGAAACTATATGCATTTTTTGAAACTATATGCATTTGAAACTATATGATTTTTATGTTCTCAACCATGGTAAAAAATTTTCTTAAATGACTAACACCTTCATCAAAATAATGAATGAGAAAAAAATGGAATTAGTTTTTCTTTTTAACTTTAAGTCCTGAAATAAACATTATAAAACTTTGAATTCTTTTTGAAACATTTTTATAACATTTAGCAGTTTTCTTTTTTAATTTTCTATGAAAAAGTACAAGCTATTTAACATAATTTCTCAAATATTTGTTAAATTCTAATTATTTTTTCCTGCAATAAAATTTTTAATGAATAAGGGTAAATATTTTATTACTTATGAATAAAAATTGGCCTCTTTATTGTTTTAAATATTGATTAAATATATTAAAAAAAATTAAATGAATATTGTTTAAAAATGATTTCTTTCCATTCTTTTTTTGCAGTTAAGAAAATTTAACTTAACAATAAGTATTGGATGTTTTCAGATGGTGATGTTTTTTCTTATCAAAAAATATTCTTCGGTAAAAAATGTATCGAATATAAATTTCTTTAACTAGAAGGTTCAATAAATGATATTAATTACTTGAGATTTGTTATCGATTCCTGACCCTTGACCAGTAGCCAGCACATCATCATGTGTATGAAGAGCCATGCTAAAAAATTAAAATATTTGATTATGCTTAATTAGATTACTCATCGAAATTAGATTAGATCTACTCAACTATAGCTTTTCATTTTATTATCTTTCGGGCTTGCTGCCTGAGAAACAACAGCCAATCCACGAAATGTATCAAACATTGAAAAAAAAGTCTAAAATAGCTGTTCTCAATTGATATTAGTATCACAAAATAAAATTTATATTTCTTTACGTAGGGTGTCTGAAAAGTATGGAATTCGACAAGTATCTCAATAAATACGCTTTGGAAAGTAAAAAAAAAGTTATTAGAAATTCTTTTGTCAAAATTTCTCAAAAGAAGCATCTAATAATATCACAGTTGACTCTCACCTTCTGGCGTGAGAGCAAGGACAATCTTAAAAACTGAAAAAAGATTTTTCATTACAAATTTGGATTTTTCAGAAAGAAGTTCCTCAGTTTGATGAAGAGGTTTTTTTTAATTTTGGCTAACAGTGCAAAGAAGCCCCGCCGGTTATCTTCCCAGTTTCATGAGCGAGTTTTTTATCATTACCAAGACTTCTCAAATTATCAAATGTGCCTATTTTAATATAACAAATAGTTTCTCGAGATGTCTTCTTTTTGAATGACCCGTTTTTAGTTTACGATTGTAAATAATTTTACGATGCGAAAACCGGCAGGTGAAATTGGGTATTTCACCTGGTGAATCCAAATCTGCAATGAAAATGTGGGTTCCTATTCAAAGTTGCTCTTGCACTATCCCAGATCAGATATAAGCACATGATTTTAATCATGACTCTTACTTACACTTCAAACTAGTGAAAAGGAATCGGTCAGTGATGCCAAACACCGAGATTACACAGATATCAAGCATCCCAGATCAGAGGTTAGGAGATCAACATTGGTAATAGTGAATGTATCTTGTAGTCTTCGGAATATATCACAGTTTCTATATTCCTGTACAGTGTATATTAAGCAAGAAAGTAAAAATTATTATCAATTTTAAAGTATGATTTAACTCTTCCCTATTTATTCCTCGGCAGCTTCTTGTGATATTGGAACCAACCAGTTATTTGTATTTGATAAGTTTTTTGTATCAAATATATCTGCAATTCTCGTCTATTATTTGATGAAAGCGAAATTTATTTTCTTTGTTTACTATACATCTTGTTCTTTCGAAATAGGACTTTTTAATGGTACGTAGACAGTTTGAAACTTAGGTAAAATGCAACTTTATTTCTCTGACAATTTTGTAACGAAAAATTTTAATTTTAAACATTTCAAGAATACTAAATTTTAAAATAGTGAAGGACATAGAAATTATTGGTTCAACTCTAGATTTTGCTCCTTGAAAAAAAATAGTGTTTTTAAAGATATGAATTAATTTGATTTTATTAAAGTTTTTACCTTTGCGTGCTGGCTCCTTTGTTCTCGAGTGACATAACGCAAAATTTTTCTTAAGAATTTAAAATTTCTGATATCCTTATGACCCAATTTATCACTTAATTTTTGTATCACTCGCTCAGATAATAGATTTGTACTCACAGAAAAGTGAAAGCTAATATGCGTAAAATTAAGTTGCAAAGCACTATTTGTAAGGAATATTATGTGTGATTCATCTGAAAAAAAAAGAAGAAAAAAAAGAAAAAACAATCCGCCAATTTCATAATTCGACAAGCTCTTTTCTCGACCGAACTCAACCGCCGAAGGGGTGGCCACGGAGGAGAAAAACTCTAAATATGCTTTTAATTTTCTTTAATTTTTATTTATAAATTGATTGTGGATATTTATTCCATTCGTCAGTATCTTTCGCAGAAAATAATTATAAAGGCAGAATATGAGATATAAATCAATCAGCATTTTAAATTCTCTATTTGCCAATAAGGCACAAGGTCATCATTCAACTAGAATTTGAGATATAAAGCGTTCAGCATTTTAGATTCTCTTTCAATTTTTTTCTGACAAAATTATAATAATAAAATTCTGCAATCAGCAGTTTTCGAAAGGTTGCTAAATAGTATATGGTATATATGTATTTTTTTACACATAATTTAATCTAAACACAAATTTAATCTGAAATTCAAAATGGCTAAAATAGAGGCCTCAGTACAACAAGAAACAATCAAAAAAAAAAATCAAGTGATTATGTATCACATGATTATGAATCGCATTGTAGAATTTGAAAAGGATGAGTTTGTGGATGAGTTTTGTATGTGAGTTTTGATATTTATATAACTAGTAAATCCATGTAGCATTTAGAAATAATCATTTAAGGATCATAAATGTAAGTTGAAAAATAATTTTCCCAAGTGGTAAGCGAAATGGCAACTAAATAACAATTAACAAAAATATTTTTATATTATACCAAGTTTGTAACTCGCCAACATGTAGCTAACATGCACTTATGTACATGTTTAAATTCTTTATGTGTAATGATTGTCAAAATCAACTTAAATTAAAATTATGTCTCCGTGAAGAAGAAAATCATTAATTTTGACAACTAAATATAAAATTAAAATCTTCCGGAAAACCTGAAAAAATTATCATCTCTAGAAAAGCAAACGATTTAAACGTTAACAAATAAGCTCATTTTTCAATGAGAATAATCTTTGTGTCTTGTTGGCACAAAATATTTCAAAATCATTAAATAATAGTAAAAAAAAAAATAGTAGTAGAAGTTCTTTCTTCTTCTTTTAATGGTAGAAATAAAACAAAAAAACTATAAAATTAAGTGCTATCAAGCAAAAAAGCCAAGGTTGTTTTTCAGGACAAAACACGCAAAATAATTTTTTAAAGACGAATTGATCATTTATTTTTATATTTTTGCAGGTTTGAATAAGTAACTGAAGTTTTAATATTTGACCATCTCCAAAAACAAACATACACGTTTTCCTTATTTTTTTCTGAATCAAATTTGCGCAAAAATATTTTCCTCAATTTTGAATAAAACATATTACCATAAAATATCTTCCGTATGTCCTAAATAATGACGCTGCGTTGCATTGGAATAATGGTGTAATACTGCGATAGTACCAACGTAATATGCTAGCTCTCCTGTTGTCAGCATAAACAAATTTCGACCTGGATCTAACCCATGGTATCCATGGCTAATAAAAAATAAAGGAAAATCTAACGATAAAGCATTATTATATTTTTAATAACTAGCTCTAATAACAGTTGTCTTAGGTGAGAAATCAAACCAAATAAGGACTGAAAATCGAATTACAAGTGATCTTAAGATGTACTAATTATTAATTACTTAAAAGCTAACCATAACATACAGGGTATCCATAAAAACCACCCTTAATATGAATTTTTGATATTTTGATCAAAAATGTAATAAAATAACATAGAGATTAGGAAGTCTCAATATATAAATGTAGAAAAGCAAAAACGTTATGGAAGTCTGACATATTAGAGTATGGGAAGACGCAGACCTCCAATTTGTATACTTTTTTCCTTCATCGTTGATAATAATTCAAAAATGCATATTAAGAGTGGTTTTATAAGAACATCCAGCATAATTATTTTCAAGAAATTCGAGCAACGTTTTTTATCTGATACCAGTTTAAAAGCATCCTGCCTTAAAAAACATTTCATGCGTAGAAAATCGTGAATTTTCTACGCATGACACTTTTTAAGAAAATTGTAAGTGTTTTGACCAAAACTAAGTTTAAAAAAAGTTCTATAAATATTAAACACCTATTTGAAAAATTTGATAATTATTACATCTGTCTCCTTGTACTGATATTTGTCAGATTTCGATTGCGTTTTTCTTTTTTTTCTTCCTGTCCTTATATTGAGTTAAGACCCCAAATGTGTAAACTTTTCTGTCCTTACATTGAGTTAAGACCCCAAATGTGTAAACTTTTCTGTCCTTATATTGAGTTAAGACCCCAAAAGTGTAAACTTTTTGATTTCATTTGTGATAAGTATTTTAAAAATACAAATAATAAAAAATACATAGCGGAATACTTTGTATGTGTTATTTAGAATACTTTTCTAAAATGAAAACTTAAAAGAAAATACTTTGGGGCATGATAATTAAAATTTAAGTGAAGAAAAAAAATAAGTAAAAATAATATCGAAATCTGACAAATCACAGTTGAGTAAGGCAGGTGAATGAGATACCAAGATATGCTTGATTGTCGAAGGAAGCAGAGAAAAGTTGAAAACTAAAGTAACCTTCAAGTTTTGGTTGCAATCAAAAAGTTTACAAACCAGCTTTCCTCAGTTTTAATTTGTCAGATTTTAATAGGGTGTTTTCTCCTAGCTAAAATATTAATTTGCAGCACTCCTTCTGTATACTTTTTGTAAACCTACATACTTCAAAAAATATTTATTTCGGGTGATGTACACTCTGCATTTAATAATAATTCACTTTTTAATAAAATAATAGTATTTTTATTAATAAATGTTAGGTCATTAAAGCATATTATTCCATAAGGAATCTGAAAATATATTAGGGAAGGTGTTTATGGATTACAGAGTGAAGGATATATTATCACCCAACTTTTATCATGAAAAGGTTGAAAATTAAACAAATATTTAAAATAACTCTTTGGTATTCATTTTTTAATGCGAAATTTGAGGGATGAAAAACGATGGATGTTGTATATGAAGGAAAGAGGTAATACGTAGTTATGCAACTAATAAAAACTTTAAGAAAGATAGTCTCGGTGAATAACGATGGATGCTGTATATGAAGGAAAGAGGTATGTATATATATATTGTATATATATATTGTGTATATATATATATATATATTGTATATATATATTGTGTATATATATATATATACCTCTTTCCTTCATATACAACATCCATCGTTATTCAGATTATAATTTCAACTTTTAAATTTTATAATTAATAGTTTTTCTGAACAAGACATGAAAAAAGAGATGAACAAAGCCTGGTCGTGCTTTGTAGTGAGTTTTAGGCATATTGTTATCTGTAAACTATTGTTCAAATTGTAGTAAAAATTATAAAAATGTAAGGATACACCCATTCCATTTCTATACGTTTATTTGGTGATAGTTTTACTTGAGTTCCATCTTGGGCTTTCTTGGTTTTTTTGTTTGCTTGGCCTTTATGAGTTCTTTTCCTAGAGGGTGGTGAAATAGCTATGGAATACGATGCTTCTAATAGGTCATTTGTTGCGTCTTGTGAAATCAGATCTTCTTTCATATTACCTTTAAAGAAAAAAAAAACTATTGTTTAAGAAAAACCTTTTAAATTTTATAAGGAATGAAGTTATTTATGATTCAATGAATTCACTTTAATCCAAAGGTAAAGAAAGATAATCCAAAAGTTATTCATTTTAATCCAAAGGTAAAGAAAGCCGAAACTCCAAGCCCATTTCAATAATTTACCCAATCCCCCTTACATATAGATAAAGGACAAGCTGCAGCTCTAAAAGAATCCCAGAGTTTCATTGAACTTGCCTCGTCTTAGTGGTCATACTAGGTCTCACCTGAGATATTTATTGAAATCAACAAACATTACAAAAAGATAGGTGGCAATGACAAACATAAAACATATGGTTGGTTAAAAATAACAACTAAACAAGTAAACAAACCATTGAAGGCAACACGTATTTTGTTAATTGACATATTCTGCTTTTCTTACATGCTATTTATTATAAAACTCCGAATATTATAAATCACAACTCATGATCATGACTAATAATTAGCCTAAGCGAAAGTGCATCCAAAAGATTATTTTTCGAAGAAAAAAAAAGGACAACAGAGTGTTTAACATCCGAAAAACGATGCTAATCGTCAGGTAGGTTTAAATAGAAGTTAGAAATTTTCAATATTGAATCCAAGCGCAAATAAAATAAATTAAACACAGAGGTCAAATGTCCTGCAACCAACGACTTTCTTTTGATTAGAGAAAATGTTCATTAATATCTTTCAAAAAGTTAATTTCAAAGTAAACGACTCTATTAGTATGTTTAAGATTGCTTGAACTTTATAAACTGGTTATTTTTGTTGTATGATGTCATCAACAAAAGTTACAAGTGAGATTAAAAGAGGGCAGTTTGTGACCATGCGACAAATCTGACATTTCAAAACAATTTAAAATATCAAATAGAAGCGGTATAAGGATATAAAAAGCATATTTTAATGAAGTTTATTTCAAGGGGGCATAGAAAATGACAAAAACAGAAGCAAACAGTGAAATAATGTCGGGAGGGAAAGCAGGTTTGCTACAGTCTGGATTGAACTATGATATGAGGCTATCGTAAATTTTAAAGCTCTTGATTTCACGTCTATTTTAGGAATACAGCTTTAACATAGATCTTTCATTTACAATTAATTTTGGACGATAGTAATTCGTAAAAACATTTAGTTTCCTCGAGTTTTTCTTCTAGTATTTTCTTAAAAGTGGCTTCTTTCACACATTTAACAACTACAAAAAGTAATTGAATTTAAGCTCAGAAACAATGTTCATAGAGAAGTTAAATTTTATGAACTTGAAAGTCGAGGAAGCACCAACTAATAAATAAGGGAAAAAGTCACTTGGCAGTTTATTTCTTATCTTATAGTGACTTTAACCACAGTCGTTATTATTTTAGTATTTATCATATTAGTATTTAAGAGACATAGAAGTTTTTATGTCGTGCCTAACTAAGAATACCATATATAAATATTGAAGAAAATCAGTTGAAGAGAGTTGCCAAAAAATAACATTTCAAAAAATAAGCATTTATTAATCACAAAATTCCTTTAATTTGCTGCTATCGACTTAAAATTTAATATTATTGTATATGTGAAAGAAATTGCCTAATAAGCAATGCCTTATTTTTCTGTAAAGAAGTTTCCGACGCTTAAATATCATGACCTTAAAATTGCATTTTGACACATGAAGCCTCTATTATTAAGGTTATTTCCTCCTTTTACTGCTAGTTCCCAAACAATGGTTTCCAATTGTTTTTTTTATTTCAAAAGTATAAGAAAACTCACAACCACAAAGTTACACATGGGATCAAGAATTGTAGTAGTTAAAAAACACATTTTTCGACCGAAAAAAAGAGTTGAGAATCTTAATGAATAAGAAAAAATTAAAATCTAGCTACAATAACAATAAATTCTTTCTTTTTTTTTTGACAACATACTTTTACAGATTGCCCAAATTTTCCGTAATCACCAATTAGCAACAAGAGCAAGCGACGTATTAGTAAAGTTATTAAACATAAGTAAATAATCGATGTAGCCTAATCTATGTTAAGCATAAATAATAATGTATGAAGAAATAATCAATGTCTTGCTCATTGTTGTAAACTGAAACATTAATTTTTTACCATGAAACACATCGAATGTTTTGTTAATCATAAAAATTAAAAACCACTATACATTCCAAAACAAGTGAATTTCCGAAATATATTTGCAATTCAAAATTGCATTCATTTAACCTAGAAATCTTTTAGTTCCAAGAAAAGGCTTCTAACTTTATTACTAAAAGTTTCGTTTAACCTTTAATAATAAAGCAAATTTCTGAAGTCAGTAACAAATAATGTTTCAAGGTTTTACATTATAAAAAATAACAGCATGCAAAAAGTCCATAGGAAAAAAAATCAAATTTCCTTTGAATACAATCTTTTCTTCTTGTTGATTATCGATAATAAAATACATATTACGAGTCACGCGATCTTGTGTTGCGCAGAAAACAATCGAACTCCATTTAGAAATTTAGGTCTTATGATATTATCGATTCCATATTTTATTTATTGAAAAAGGATTGTACGTGGAGAAAAAAAACGCTTTTGACTTAACTTTTGTTTCAAATTGATGCAACAAATTTTTTATAATTAACTGATGCCCATAATTATTGATTTCCTTTTTTTTAAAGTTTTAAGAATTGTATTTACAATATTCTTGATTCCTACTATATATATATAAATATATTACATATTAATTGTTATTTTACCATACTCAACCAAAACAGTCAAGTAACCATAAAAAAGATTATATTTAAATTGTTAAGTGAGGGAAAAAATGTTCATCGATTCATATTACCTAATACGGTTTAACAACCAGAATTCTATCCACCTTATGAAGTCATCATTTTGTTCCGATCAGCTTCTTACACACTGTAGCTGAAAGGGCTAATCGGTCAATCTCATACCCGGCTCAATAGGGGTTCGAATATTAGTGATACCACAATATTCCTTCAATACCCGACGAGTTTTTTTTAACGTCCTTCAGTTTTCAATCTGTAAGCCAAGATTATCAGAATACGAAACTATATCATTCACTCCTAAATGGCGCAGCTCCCAGAAAGCTCCAATGTCCGTTTGAGTTTTATTTTTATGGTTTAGAAATTAAGCTAGTTGTAAATGGTTATAAAGTCATATAGTTTTGTATTCACGGTTTCTTAACCGTACCAGTTGTAAACGGTTTCAAAACTGTAAAGATAAAGTAATATTCCTAACCACAAACTTTATAGATGGATAGACTGCTGCGTGCGTGCGTGCGTGCACGCGCGCGCGTGTGTGTGTGTGTTGAGAGATATACTATATTTATATGTAAGCTAAGAGTTCATGCAGTGTTTTCATTGAAAATAATGTTTCTAAATAGAACTCTGTCAGAAAAAGCCAATTTAATACATTAATGTCTCTATTTTTATTATTTTAGACATGTCGTAGAATATTATAAAATTATAAAGTCAACACTTATAAAAATTTGGGGAAATTAGTTTGCGTAAATATCTTTTTTTTAAAAAAATTATTGCGTACAATAATTCATTTGTTTTAACTTCCTCTATTCATTTGTTTTAACTATTAAAAAGTCATTCAATGTATATATAGCAGTTCATTTAATTGTCATTTCACCATACTCAACCAAAATAGTCAAGTAACCATAAAAAAAGATGATATTTAAATTGTTAAGTGTGGGGGAAAAAACGTTTATTGATGGTTTTTACCTAATACGGTTTAACAACCAGAATTCTATCCACGTTACCTTATGAAGCCATTTTGTTCCGGGCAGTTGGGTACATATTATAGCTGAAAAGGCAAATCGGTCAATCTCACCCGGCTCAATAGGGGATCGAATCCCGGTAGTAGTGATACCACAATATTTCGTCTATTCCTTCAAGAGTTCTTAACGTCCTTCAGTGCAGTGATTTCACTGAAAATAATATTTCTCAATAGAACTTTATCAGAAAAAGCCAATTTAATGTCCCTATTTTTATTATTTTAGGTAAAATATTATAAAGTCAACACTTATAAAAATTTGGAAAAATTAGTTTGCGTAAATATCATTTTTTTTTAAAGTATTGCGTACAATAATTCATTTGTTTTGACTTCCTCTGTCACAAAAAAAAAAAAAAATTCACGACAACACTGTAGAATTTTAATTTATGAATCAGTTATATTGAATTGCATTAACCATTAACCATGACCGTGAGTGTTAGTAATTATTTAAATTATCATCTAGAAAACTTATACCAAACAATGTGTTATTCTGTAAAAAAAACACTAATTTAAAAAAAAGGAATTTAAAATAAAGTTTTTATCACATTGAGAAAAGATACAAACTCTCACTGCACACTAATGGTTTTAGAAACGTGAAAATATCATTAGATTTGAAAGACTAACAAAATTGGCTTCAAATATCCAAGAACCATTTTTATTTACCCACTAAAACATAAAAATGTCTGCTATACACTTATTAAGTGTTTTATAAATATTTTCAAAAATGTTTCGAATAGTCTTAAGTGCAATGGTATAGAAAACATTTTGTTATCTATACGATCTATTATTTTAAGACCAAATTAAGACCAAACTGAAGAATTAAGACCAAATCTATTGAAGAAACATTTGAGAGAGTTTTGTTTTGCTATGTTCCTTAGAAAGATTATATTAAGAGGATTCTATTAGAAAGGTTATATTTATAGAAAGATTACATTGCATTTTTAAGAATTGGTTCTAAAACAAAAAAAAGAGAAATTTAAATGCGAATAAACTTTATAAACAAATTATTTTCTTTGATAAATGCCAATACATTTTAACTTTGCCACTATATAAATAAATTTTGTTAATTTTGAGTTTAAAAAGTACATTTCAAGATATAACAAATTCTTACGAGCATGCTTAGCTCATTTATATAATTAAAAACACATATTTAGTTAAATCAATTATGATAATTGTTTTTTAGCAAAGAGAAATAAAGAAATGTTTGAGAAA